TAGTACACTTAGTTATCTAGACCACAACGGGGTAGTACACTTGGTAATCTAGACCACAACGGGGTAGTACACTTGGTAATCTAGACCACAACGGGGTAGTACACTTGGTAATCTAGACCACAACGGGGCAGTACACTTGGTAATCTAGACCACAACGGGGCAGTACACTTGGTAATCTAGACCACAACGGGGCAGTACACTTGGTAATCTAGACCACAACGGGGTAGTACACTTGGTAATCTAGACCACAACGGGGTAGTACACTTGGTAATCTAGACCACAACGGGGTAGTACACTTGGTTATCTAGACCACAACGGGGTAGTACACTTGGTTATCTCGACCACAACGGGGTAGTACACTTGGTAATCTAGACCACAACGGGGTAGTACACTTGGTAATCTAGACCACAACGGGGTAGTACACTTGGTTATCTCGACCACAACGGGGTAGTACACTTGGTAATCTAGACCACAACGGGGTAGTACACTTGGTAATCTAGACCACAACGGGGTAGTACACTTGGTAATCTAGACCACAACGGGGTAGTACACTTGGTAATCTAGACCACAACGGGGTAGTACACTTGGTTATCTAGACCACAACGGGGTAGTACACTTGGTAAACTAGACCACAACGGGGTAGTACACTTGGTAATCTAGACCACAACGGGGTAGTACACTTGGTTAACTAGACCACAACGGGGTAGTACACTTGGTTATCTAGACCACAACGGGGTAGTACACTTGGTAATCTAGACCACAACGGGGTAGTACACTTGGTTAACTAGACCACAACGGGGTAGTACACTTGGTAATCTAGACCACAACGGGGTAGTACACTTGGTAATCTAGACCACAACGGGGTAGTACACTTGGTAATCTAGACCACAACGGGGTAGTACACTTGGTAATCTAGACCACAACGGGGTAGTACACTTGGTAATCTAGACCACAACGGGGTAGTACACTTGGTTATCTAGATCACAACGGGGTAGTACACTTGGTAATCTAGACCACAACGGGGTAGTACACTTGGTAATCTAGACCACAACGGGGTAGTACACTTGGTAATCTAGACCACAACGGGGTAGTACACTTGGTTATCTAGACCACAACGGGGTAGTACACTTGGCTATCTAGACCACAACGGGGTAGTACACTTGGTAATCTAGACCACAACGGGGTAGTACACTTGGTTATCTAGACCACAACGGGGTAGTACACTTGGTTATCTAGACCACAACGGGGTAGTACACTTGGTTATCTAGACCACAACGGGGTAGTACACTTGGTTATCTAGACCACAACGGGGTAGTCACTACATAACCGGGTCAGTCAGCAACATACTGCCTGACCCACGAAGCCGAGCGGAAAGACCGAAGACCGGATCGGCCCTCGGGACTTCTCTTTCATGCCTCTAATAAATTCATTCCAGAGGAGGAGAGTGCTCGCACGTGCAATGAGATTGGTGGGAGACAGCTAGAGGTTTTTTTTAAAACATAAATTGGTTGCTTTCTCTACAAATGTTCATATTAATTTAGCATGGTTATGGTCAGTGCCGGATTAAGCTAGTGCGGGGCATGTAGCACGTGTTGTTATGAAGGGGTCCTAAATAAATAAATAAATACACATAAATATTAAAAAAACTAATTGTCTACTTGGATAGTAAAGTAATTGTATTTTTTCATTTGCTATACATCCAGATAATACGACAAATCGCTAACCTTAAACGCCCAGTCGTTCATAAAAGTTGAAAACGGTATAGTACTATAGTAATAGAGCAAGTGCAGAGTCACTGAACCGGAATTGATAGCTTGAAAGCGTTTATCGCGGGGGCCCTTGAAAGTGCGGGGCCCGTAGGATATGTCGCTACTTTTGCTGCTCGGATAATCGGGCGCTGAGAGTGACGATTTCTCGAGATCGATCACCAATGTATCTGCAATTGGGCAGCCTCTGGCACTAATCACATTGGCCACGCCCATCGGCGATGTCCCCGCCCCCAAGAACCGCACAACGCGCTCCACCAACAACAAAAAAAAGATATCCCCACGCAAACAAAAAATAATCCGCACGCTAAAATTCAAACGAGCATCACGCGAACACGGCAATTTCACATCACGCACACGCACACACACAAAAACACACCGCGCAATTTGTCTCAATCGCTCAAATCAAACGTAAAACACGCTCACTGCGGATATTGTATTCTTATTTCGTCGTGGGTGGAGGCGGTGGTGGGGGGGGAGGTGACGCGGTGACGCGGAGGAGGATGAAGGCGTGACGCGGCCCCCCGCGCGCTACTTGCGGCCTCTTCCTCCGCTACCGCCGTCAGGAGACGCTGAGGCCGCGGAGCCGCGCTAACAAGAATCATGGTAACGTGGCGTTTCTCGCGCGGACGAACGTCTTTTTCGGTCCCCCGAGAAGCACGGGCGGCGGCCTTTACCATGAACGCCAGTCGGTGTCTCTGTGAATCCGTGCCTTGAGGGGGGAGGTTGTTTTTTTGATGTGGTGGGTCAGGGCCCAGCGCGAGTAGTGGAGCCTGGGCCTTGCTCAGGCGAGGACACGTGGGCCTGAGAGCGGCTCCTAAGCGGAGTTAGATTTTATTTTTTTAAACTGCGTTTGTAAATTGTGTTTCAAATTAGTAAAGGGTTGGGGCTGCGTGGTCCGGCAAAGTATAGGTTTTTTTGTTAAAGATGGACTGGCTTTTCGTAGCAATGTGGAATTGCCATCACAACGGCCTTAGATGGAGTTGAGCAATGGGTTAAGGGAGGTATTTTCTCCACTGCGGCTTAACGTTTTTATTTTGTTGTGCTCTTAAAAGAGTGGCGATTTTTTTATATATATGAGGCAACTGCTGTTGGTAGACCAGACTGCGAAATGACGCGTTGCGGCGATGTTACAGTAAAGCATGAATGTGGAAGCCCATATGCTAATTGATTAAATGTTGCGGGTATCATGTTTACTGAGACCTTTTAGACAAAGGAGAGGCCAGGTTGTTAATCGATTCGGGCATACGGCTCATACGAGATGGGCCTAGGCCTAACATCAACACGAGAATCGGACTTTCGATATGCACTCGCTTAATCGTCGAAACTGATAATCCACGTCATCTATTTGTAAAGTGTTCAGATCAGGGCCAAACACCAGTACAAGGGGGAAGGTTATTGTATTTGTCAATCTTTATTATTTATAAAATTTGTCCAGTAATTAAACTGAGCTGTAATAAGGCAGCTCGGCTCATCCGACGCCTTGGCCTAGGTCAGGGGTCGGCAACCTACGGCTCCGGAGCCGCATGCGGCTCTTTACGGGCTGCTTCTTGACGATATGTACGTGAGTACGTACTCAGATGCATTGCGGCTCTTGAAATACTGAATTTTGTACCGAATTGGAAAGAAATGGCTCTTCTTGTTTTTTTGGTTGCCGACCCCTGGCCTAGGTAAAACGTATTGAAATTGACCTCACTCAACAGTTATAACCAAAATTCCAGCCCCATGCCACGAATCTAGCCCAGAATCTTTGCTTGGACTACTTCAATTTGGCCTCGTTGAGAGTTAAACGTCACTCTTGCTGTGACTCATAATGGCGAAGTACACGCTACTTGGTAGACACGTGCTGTTTATTTTACCACGCGCATACATTTATTCGTGGGGTACCCATGACAAATGGATATCAAAACCTGAAACGTTCAAATGCGCTCATTTTAAGTGCGTTCACTTGTGTTTGTGTTTTTACAGGCGTGCGCACGCCCACTTATAAGCATATACTCTGAGAAGGGGGAAAGCTCTGGCAAGAGTGTGGTCATGCCGGCCGTGTTCAGGGCGCCCATTCGCCCGGACATCGTGAACTTCGTGCACACGAACCTGCGCAAGAACAGCCGGCAGCCCTACGCCGTGAGCGTGAATGCAGGTACGGTGAGCCCGGGACCGTACTTCCTCCACCCAATCACCCAGCAGTCTTAACGGGTTTACGTCTTCTCTCTCGGCCGCCAATAGTCCGACGTTGTCCGTGGAGATGTGGGATCACACGTGGTGGATTAATGAGCCACCATCGTGGACTACACAAGCCGGAAAATCACGAATAATTGATGTAGCTTGTGGTCCTAAAAACTCTGGTTTTAATGTAGTCTCTGCCTCTTACCTTTATCTCGGGATATTAAATAGCCTTCAAAGTTAAAAAGGACATACCAATTTGCACTATTTTGACTGTACAGTGCCATTCATTGGTCTATTAAAATGGTATAATTATTGCCTTGATTAAACATGCTCTAGTTATATTTACTGTTTAGCCATTTTGATTTAAAGCTTTCGTGACTGCAGGGATTCATATTCTTGGTTCTTTCGTAGAAGGGGAAATAATACGTGACTTTACCGAAATAACCAAGAATATGTTTAGCCATTGCTGACGAAACTTTAAACAAAATGCACCTAATATATAATCCGTAACATAACGGTCATTCGGCTCGGAAGTGTATCCTAGGCATCAATGTGACGAAATTGCTCATTCGCTGATGTTATAGCACAAGTGCCAATGTGAAACAACGCCTTAATGGAATGGCAGTGAAACGCAAATGCTAGGCATCAATGTGACGAAATTGCTCATTCGCTGTTGTTATAGCACAAGTGCCAATGTGAAACAACACCTTAATGGAATGGCAGTGAAACGCAAATGCTAGGCATCAATGTGACGAGATTGCTCATTCGCTGTTGTTATAGCACAAGTGCCAATGTGAAACAACGCCTTAGTGGAATGGCAGTGAAACGCAAACGCTTATAACCATCGTCGTGCGTTGTCCCTTGCAGGTCACCAGACCAGTGCCGAGTCGTGGGGTACTGGCCGAGCTGTGGCGCGTATCCCCCGTGTGAGGGGTGGCGGTACGCACCGCTCCGGACAGGGTGCCTTCGGAAACGTATCCTTTCTCGCGTCTTGTCATGGGGTGGGGGGGGGGTGAGGGTGGAGTAGAGCGTTGCAATTCTACGAGTGCCTCAGTCGCGCCACCGCCTTGCCGTGATGCTGTAATTTGCGACTTACTGTGCGTCTGGTGGCGGTAGCCTGCCGTCGTGAAGCCAACGCACGCGGATGCTGAAAACGAAACCACTGAGCAAGGCGCTTGGCAGCTGTTTGTGCGGGTCGTGTTTTGGTTCGTGCGTAAAGATGAATCCTTGACAGCTCGTCCATGTAGATGTGCCGAGGAGGTCGCATGTTCGCGCCAACCAAGACGTGGCGTCGCTGGCACCGGCGTGTGAACGTGACCCAGAAGCGATACGCCATATGCTCCGCTCTGGCCGCCACTGCTCTCCCTGCGCTCGTCATGTCCAAGGGTGAGCACCAGTGGGATCTTTTTCACATGACAAAAATTTCAAGTGGAATGAAATCTTAATTCGTGGTGTTTGGAGATGTGATGAGCCTCCCACTTTGGTCTGTGTTGCTGATGCACCCTGATAATAATTAAGTCCTGATTCTCCAAATGTTCACCTAAAAGGGACTGTATTTTGAAGGTTATTTCTATTAGACTGTTTGCATGTTTAGTTGATACAGCTGCTGAATGCATCTGTGGATGCCACGGTGTGTCCCCCACTAGGCCATCGCATCGAGGAGATCCCCGAGGTGCCACTGGTAGTCGAGGACAAGGTCGAGGGCTACAAGAAGACTAAGGAGGCCGTGCTGTTGCTCAAGAAGCTCAAGGCCTGGAACGACGTCAAGAAGGTTTGTTCCAAGTGCCTGGCGAGATGGTTTTTAGATCCCCTTGTTAAACAAGACGTGTCACATGCTCAAATGTCCTTGTAAAAACAGTACACGTGTACTGCACGGTTACACTGTTTAAAGCGTGCATTTGCTTCGTAGGTGTACGCCTCCAAGCGCCTGCGTGCAGGCAAGGGCAAGATGAGGAACCGTCGTCGCATCCAGCGCCGCGGGCCCTGCATCATCTACAACGAAGACAACGGCCTCACCCGCGCCTTCCGCAACATCCCAGGTACCTTACTGCCTGGGTTGTGGTCGTCCAGTATAGGTCTTCAGCGTATTTGTATGTTTTACCGCGTGTTCTGACTTCATGCCGAACAATATGGGGTACAACGTGATATCAATGGAAAGATATTCTGAGTACCCTGTCCCATTAGCCAGTGTCCCCTCGTATAGGCAGGAGTAGATGAATAATTGTAAAGATATTGGCATCGTGAGTTAAGTGTACTCTTTTTTAAAATCCTTTATATTAAGTTCACTTGCTTGCTTGCGCGCTTACGACCGTGCAAATCTTTCGGTCGTTTTTTCACCCACTTCCCGTGATCCAATCGAGCTGACATTTTGCACACAGACTCGTTGTGCGTGACAATTTATTTTCGTGAAATTTTTTTTCCAAAATTTTACACTTTAGGAAAAAATAAATTATATTTAATTACCCATAGGTGGCAGCCATCTCAAGCCAGAGGACGAGAGGACTCTAGCCGCCACGCATATAAAGGATTTATAGTGAAAAACTTTTTTTTACGGGTTAATTTTTTTCCACGCGCAGGCATCACACTTCTGTCGGTGAAGAAGCTGAACCTTCTGCGCCTGGCGCCTGGTGGGCACGTGGGCCGCTTCTGCATCTGGACCGAGAGTGCGTTCGGCAAACTGGACGACATCTACGGCACCTGGCGCAAACCCTCCAAGGAAAAGTCCAACTACAAGTAATGCTGCTGTCTTAACACTGGATGTTGGTGGAAAATCATACGGAGGCTCTTCTAGAGCTCGTAGACTTTATAGTGTCTTACTAGAAACAGTACGTATGTTGAACTTATTTTGTACCGTGCTTAGCCAACTGTGCTAAACTGAGGTGAATAAGTGTGTGCGCGCGCGTCATTGTACGAAACTTAACTATGCAGATCTAAGTTGCCGATGGATTTTTCCCTTTTATTTTGCAGCCTTCCCATGAACAAGATGACCAACTCTGATCTCAGTCGTATCCTCAAGAGTGAAGAGATCCACAAAGTGCTCAGACCACCAAAGTAAGTGTTTCGTTTCGTTTGCAGAATTAACTGATATTTCCTTTAAGGTTCCCCACAAGCACGTTCATTAAGTTTACAGTAAACAATTGCACGACATTAGGTGTTTTCTAATCACTGTACGTTCTTTATCAAATAATATTTTTAACAAATATGCTTGTTTCGGTTACCTGCTCGCTGTCTTTTACAGCAAAAAGATTGTGCGTCGTGTGCTGAAGAAGAACCCACTTAAGAATCTCCGAGTGATGATCAAGCTCAACCCGTACGCCAAGACGGCTCGCCGGAACGCTCTCCTCACAGAGGAGCGCCATGTAAGTCTTGAGGACATGCGTGACCAGCAAATCGCATCCTGCAACCACAAAACGAAATGTCCCCCATTCATGCAGTTGATTGTAATGGGTGTGTAATTGTGCTGATCTCTGACTCTTAGAATGATGATATGATGTTACGTATTTATGTAATGAAGTTGCATTTTCGTTCTGGTTTATTTCTTGCTGTTAGCTAAATATTTAAACTGGTGTTGGTAGTAGTGGGCAGGTGCATTTTTGTAGTTTTTGTGATCTACATTGACATTAAACACGGATTTGTTTTTCTCCTACAACAGAAGAACAAGGATACTGTTGCTGTTAAAAAGGCTGTCAAACAGGCCAAACAGGCCAAACAGGCCAAAGTGGATGTCAAGAAAGACCAGAAACCCGCAAAAGAGCCAGCCGTCAGGACGCCAGCCGTCAAGGCAGCCGCAAAGAAGAAGGCAGCGGCGAAGAAAGCGGCCAAGATAGCAGCCAAGATAGCAGCCAAGACAGCCAAGACAGCCAAGACCACCGCATAACTGGCCCTGATTGGAGCCACCCATATGCAGACTTGCTGTGCCGGCCTTGTTCGTAACACCTGGTTCGTTCAAATAAAAGGCAATTAATGACAATGGATCTTGTATCGTGTTGTCCTTTGCTTCAATTCAGCACACGTTTTCACAAGAAATGGGATTGTTTTTCAGCTGTATTGTAATCAATATGTTGCTTAAGTGTTTATTTCAAATTGTGATCGTGCAGATGACGGATTTTGTCTAAATTCATGAGCTCAGGTTTTCTGAAACTACAGTCCTCATTACCCACCACCTACATTTTTTCGCGTTTACCAAATTACTCCCCATGCAGATGCAAATTAACTGGTGGCTCGCAAGGATTGGACTTTGGAGAAACTATGAGCGTGCATGTTTGTATTTGCATCGACTACAGTATACACATTACATAGTTGCTGCTTTGGTGAGCTGTACATGAAATTAATAGTTTAGTTTAAATACTGTAATTCGGTAAAGGAATATTTTATGGTTAAAAAATTTGGAATGCCAGTTTCCCAAAACTTTATTGCAGTGACTTTCAAATAACTGTTCCTTCGGTAAGTCGCGTAGAAAGAAAATAAATTAAATAATAGAATACGACGTTTCGATTGCAACACAGTCATCAGGTGGAACTAAATTTGAGAGACTAAACAGACACGGAGACATAAGCAGTGAGAACAGACAACATAGACACTGTCTAACATTGGTCGCGAAAGCCTACGTGTTAAACTGTCTCTGTTTGCTTAGTGTGTGTCTCCGTGTCTGTATTTTGTCTCAAATTTTATTCTACCTGATGACTGCTTGTGTTGCAATCGGAACGTATTATATTTATATATATTTTCTTCGTGACTTTAATGAAAGAACCAAAAGAATAATTCCTGCAGTCACGAAAGCTTCAAGTCAAGTTTGACTTTCAAATGTTACTGGAATACCAATTTGCTACCTTATTAAATTCACCCTGACCAGAATCATGCACTTTTGTCCACGGTTGGAGAATTGACTTCAGACCTTTGCAAACGAGTTTTGTGGGGAAAAAATTAGAATTTGTGTTTTTGAGCTTTTGACTGCGTTTCAGTGGTGGCCCCCATATTGAGCGTTTCAAATCTCACGTTCCTATCGGGGATTAATAGAATAACCACTTGCATACAAACTTGACTGGATATTGTTCAGGGAAAGGATCGGTCCTGAAATGGTTAAACACGGGCCAAACTCTTAAGACATTTGAAATGACGTTTTATGGATATCCACGTTAATTTCTAAGCTAATTTTTATTCAGCTGAGAACCCATTTAGGTTAAATTTTCCTCACTGGATGGTTAAAGCCCTTTCCAAGCTTGGTTAATGTATAAACAGCAATGTCTACGAATTAATGGAAGGCTCCTTTATCCGTTAGAAACCATCCAGTTTGTGCATATAGCGTACGTGATGGCCAATGGAGAGTGTTGTGTTGGCACGATAGAATTGTCTGTGGCACAGCTAGGTTTGGTCATAAGACTCCTTTCCATAACTTTTTGTAATAGCTCTCAACTATTATAATAACACGTTCTAATAGCTGAGAGCTGAGTCAAACGTTGTGAGTCCAAGTGACTTCAAAATAGCAGTGGGTGGCCAGTCTCCTTTGGAGGGCCAGAGCAAAAGCGGGAATTCCACATTCCCATGAAAATCTATCCTCTTGACAATGACGCAGTTGAGCGGTTACGCACGCGAGGCATATTAAGGGTGCACGTGATAAGCCACAGGCATGGACATTGTCAGAAAATGAAACAAGTTTATAACACGTAGGCTTTCGCGACCAATATTCATAATATACATTTTTTTGGGTGAGATCTTATATGGGGCCGTCCATAAATGACGTCACGCACCTGGAGGGGGGGGGGGTGAGAAATGTGACGTCACATCAAAATGCGCAACTTTAAATAAATATAGACAACACGTTCTACTTAATTAAATAGACTTTTTAATAAATGTTTTCTCTTAACAGTGCAGCGGCACATTAAATACGCACTACAATGACAATAGTTTAAAGCAATTTGAAGCATGTTTTATTTTGGGGGGGGGGAGGCAGATCTTTGTGACGTCATATTTGAGGGGGGGGTCTGACTGTGTGACGAGGGGGGGGGGGTCAGAAATCGTCCAAAATCGCGTGACGTCATTTATGGACGGCCCCTAAATATAAATGTGTCGTTAAACCCGCCACCACCCGACACAGCTGATTAGTAAGGTTTGTCACGTAAACAGAACGTGGCCAATTCGTTACTAGTCCAGCACAGCGTTATGTTCTAGATTTGAAGCTTTCGTGACTGCAAGGATTCATACTCTTAGTTCTTTCGGCAAAGTCACGTAGGTAAAAAATGAAATTAAAATTAATAAAAAATAAAAATCACTTTTTTTTTAATACCATTTTTTACCTACGTAACTTTACCTAAAGAACTAAGAGTATCGGCGTTATGTTGGTGAGTAAATCCACAACATTTACAATTTTGAGTACGACGTTTCGCCAATAATTACAAGCGGCGTCATCAGGCGGACAGCCAGATCTGTGTCTGCCTGGAGGGAGATGGAGCAACAATATAAAGTCGTGCAAGAGGCCCGGTGAATTTGACGCCTTCATATTCTTAGGCGTTTTCGGTAAAGTCACGTAGGTAAAACATCAAAATTAATAAAAAATAATAAAATAAAATAAAGATCACGACGTTTCGGAGGCAACACAAGTGATCTTTATTTTATTATTTTTTATTAATTTTGATGTTTTACCTACGTGACTTTACCGAAAACACCTAAGAATATGATTCCTTGCAGTCACGAAAGCTTCAAGTGTAGAATTGACGCCTTCATCCAGCGGTGGATAGGTCAAGGACAACGACGATCTCGAAGCTCCGCCTCCTTACGACAACACCACGTGGTTAACCGCCGAAGCACTTCAAATCTGTAACACTTCGCCGACCGAAAATAATTCCTCGACGAAACTTGCGGTGGTACCGTGGTTTTTGTGTGCGCACGCGTATATATAGACATCATTCGAGGTGCGTCGTATTCTTTGCGATCCGCTAAACGTCCGTGGGGATTACGTTTGTTCTGTAGACGGTGGTGCAGTGGGCGGATCACTTCCCCCCGCCTCCGCGGAAGGTTTTCTCGGGCTATATAAGGACGACGCCTCGAGCTCACGGGTCTCTTTTTTTCGTGGGACCTCCTTGTAGGTAAGAATTCTTGACGATGCTCAACTCGTACAAGCGTGGAAATGTGCGATCGTAACTTTTTTTAAATTCTACTTGGCGACAACAACAACAACGTGCAACGTTTAGTAAGAGTCGGGGCGGTATTTTGTTTCTCCACTCCCCAATTAAAATCTCGGCGAGGCTATTTTTACAGGAAATTTGTGTCGAACACGTGGTCCGCACGCGTGTATCTCACGGCATTGTGTGGGGTGGTGGTGGTGGTGGTGGGCCTTGCCAAGCTACAGCCGTAGTCAATCCACTGCTGGATGAAGAGGATCCCCTCCGAATTCGCCACCGCAAATGCGATGCAGCGAATCGGTCGTTTAGGAGCCTTTGTGGCCGCACTCCGTTATTGGCAAACGCGGCCGAACACTTTTTACTCTGGGCGCCGACGTTTCGTGCCCAAGCCCACTTGGGGGGTTGTTGATTGTGACCGAAGTAAAGTTTTGCGGTTTAAACACGTGGGCTCCGGAGGGTTGGTGAGCTTTGCTTGGCCCATTGCGTTTAAGGATTTACAAAAAAACTTTGAACCTTTTGGGGCCCGGCTTTTTGTATTGAAATGGTGAATTCGATGGGTCGATAACTTGGCGTTTCGCGTGAAGGGCCTTGGTGTTTAACCGGTCGCAATTTGGTGCGTTGCCGAAAAATCTTTAGTACTCGATTGATAACGTAAATGGTTACGGTTAATCGCTAGTTAAAATAACAAGTGTGGGCTTTTGAAGGATAGGCGACCGTCTGGAAAATGACCAACTGGAAGGCCCCCCACGATTATCAAATCTTTACATTTTAGCCTGATTAAGTACGCGGCTTTTACGTCAATTACCGCTTTGAGTAAAATAAGACGGCGGTGGAATGCATGGTATAAATATTTAACACGGTAACTAAAATGTGCATCTTGTAAAACCAGGCAATTATAGTTTGCTGAAGTGAAAATTATCGATTGCTATTTATTAATCTTTTTTTAGTGTGTGGTCAACTCTGTTAAAATGTATATAAACGTTTGGCGGATATAGTTATTTTTTATTGAGATACAGTGCTTATAAATATAAAATGTTCACAATTGATCCACATCTGAGCTTGTACTGTACCACCTTGAATTGTATTCTAATTAACCGGAAGTTTAATCCCAAGCCCTTGCAAAGTGAAAATGTTACTAAAGATGTAAACGTTACTAAAACACTTGTGGGAGCACAGAGTATAGCGTTGAGACGCTGTTGGGGTTTGATAGGTGGCGCAGTGGTTAGCGCATTTCACGACAAACCCGATTACTAGGAATCGATTTCTGGCCACTGTTACAAATTGGTGGCGGGGGGTGATGGCTGACCGATTCCTGGGCACTTAACCAACGCGAACTGACCTGGATGATGAAGTATTTGGTCAAGCAACCCCCCCCCCCCCCATGACCGACACATCGCGTGAGAGCCTTGATCCTAAGCGGTGGTTTGAAGGGGAAGTTCCTGAAGATTTTATTGCAACGAATACAATTTCCAGCAGAAATAGAGGGGTGGTGGTTCAAACCCGGGTGTGTGGCTTAATGCGACCACGTGTTTGTATACCGGTAGAGGGCGCGTTTTAAGCCGTAGGGGTTATTGGGTGCAGTGGAACTACGGAGATGTTTTTAGCATTTGATACCAAGGCTGTGGGTAAAATCACTACCTTAAAGTGTCGTTGACTTAAATAGTTTGCACTCCTTTGACTGCAAACGTTTATGGCAGCGACCTGATGAATGGCACGGTTTGATCTCCATCGATTTAGCGGTGGGGGATAGGGAGGGAGGTGGAAATTAAAAAGGCACGTTAAAGAAACGCTGAAAAGTAACCGTAATGTGTTGTAGCTAAATGAAAACGTTAACCAGATGGTATTGCAGTGGTGTAGCGTCCACTGCGCGTTGGAGACGTGATGAGATTCCAACTTCGGTCCGTGTTGCTGATGCACCCTGATAACAACGAAGTCCTGATTCTCCAACTATTAAAACTGCAGCATTGTTGTCGCTTTTGGTTACTGCGATTACATTTTGACTTGACCCCCCCACGTGTTTGTCGGTTGCAGGTCACCCGACCAGCCATGTGTCCCTCTGGCGAGCGGCATTGGCGGCACCACTGGCCAGTCAAGGCGGAGTGCCATCAACCAACCACGTATCCTTTCGTTGTCACACCACACCTTTGCAGCTCTGGGTTTTTTCGGGGGAGCAGAGTGAAAAATCCAGTAGCGTGGGATATTTGTCATGGGTCTCTGGCGCAGGGATTTAAATGTGGGGGGCTCTGTCGGTTTCCCCCATCTCTACGATGTAGCCAGTACGTATGTTGAACTTCTTTTGCACCGTACGTAGCCAACCATGTTAATTGGCAGTGCGGTGGAAGACCAACAATACAAGTCCCCCTTTTTTAGCACAATGTGGTGCGGTTGAACTCTGCACGCACACACAATACATAGCTGCGCCACTGAAAGAATAAAACTTAGTCCCACATTCGCGCACCACCGCCTTGCCATGATGCTGTAATTTGCGACTTACTGTGCGTCTGGTGGCGGTAGCCTGCCGTCTTAAGCCAGCGCACGCGGATGCTGAAAACGAACCACTGAGCAAGGTGTGTGTTTGGCAGGAGGAGGGGGGGGTAGTTGTGGTTGTGGGTCGCCAGTTGTGAATTGTGGAAAGAATCCTTGACTATAGAAACTTACAGATGTGCTGGAAGACACGTGGGTGCCAACAAAGATGTTTGTGAGCGTCCATCCCGTGGGTGAATGCGGCGCTAGCTTGCCTGGTGACCTGCCATGCATGGCCTCGTCACTGGTGTTGATCAGGTCCTGAGGAAATCCTTGGAGGTGGTGCCCTGGTGAAGCCCGTTGATGGCGACTCAAATGTATGCTGACCAACGATAACAGTTGGGCCTTGCTTGGCTATAAACCCCGAAGGTGAGCAGCGTTTGTGTGTTTTTCACGAGCATTTGTGGTGCGCATCGGTGTACGGGCGTCTGGAGAACGTGATGAGGCAAACTAAATGTTCACTTGCCGTTCTGATTTTACGTGTTGAGGCTGAACAGGCTGATTTCTCCAGATACAACCATGACACCTGAAGCAATGTCATAATGACGTGGCAACTTGACGCTTTACTTTGAGAGTGGTTGCGCATCGGCTAACAACAAATGGGTGGTTTTGTCTCTACCAGTGCGTTGCCCTCTGACCGCCCAAACGGCATTCTGCAAGGGTGGTGTGCCGACGCCGTTCAGTGGGATGTCGTCTTCCTCCAGCAGCTCCACTCTGCAAGTTGAGGTGAAGTGTGTTTGTTGAACTAATAACATTTTGTGGTGTTGATGTTATGTACATAAATGAAGTCTTCTCGGGCTATTAAAGGCTTAGATAGTTTACAATTTTGGTGACCTGGATGGCGTGAAATCGTAATTCCCTTCTGGATTGCAGTCGATTGGACTTAATCCCAAGGTGAAATACAGCAGCAGTGCGGGACGCATTTCTGCAAACAGCGTGTTCACGTACATAACGCACACAAATGTGTGCGCAGACACATTCTTACGAACTGTCTGGTCATGCGATATTTTGCTCGCTCACATTGGATTGCATTCACGATCGATTTAAAAACGCTAGAATCTCACCCAGTTGAGGTTCGACGTCCTGCAACTGCATCGCCACCGGCGGGTGTGTCGATATTGATGAAATCGATTGGCCTCCATGGAATGGCAACCAAAATTGCGCAGTGTTGCGGTCATTCAGATGGGTTGGCCTAGAAGGTTGTGGGTCTGAAGGGGGTGGGGTGGGTCGTAAGCATTTGGAGAACGTGATGAGACAAAATAAATGTTCACTTGCCGTACTGATTTAACGTGTTGAGGCTGAACAGGCTGATTTCTCCAGATGCAGACTCGTGCTATTTGGCTATTCAAGTTGAATATGATTTTCAGTTTTAAGCACAATGGATGGGGTTTGAGATTGGATTGTGCACAGTCGATCTCTAGCAATCCTCTAAGGTGAAATATTGTCCCAATGTGCACACATGCTAACCACATTTGCACTGCGTTATCAGGGTCCTTGGGAGCGGTGCCTGGTGCAACTCCTTATTGAAACACGGCGTGCTGCACCGGGCCACACTTATACCGACCAACACCAAGAAGTGACTGAGCTGGTGTGACTGGGCCTCGCATGGCGATAGCCCCCAAGGTGAGCTACAGTTTTATTTTTTTTCACGAGCCTAAAGGTGCGCGTCGTGTGTTTTTTTTTTTAATGGTGTTGTCTGGAGAACGTGATGAGACAAAATAAATGTTCACTTGCCGTACTGATTTTACGTGTTGAGGCTGAACAGGCTGATTTCTCCAGATGCAAACGTGACAACCCGACGCAAACGCCGCGTACTGACGCCAATTGCATTTCATGTTTTGCTGGGTGAGGGTAATAATGGGTGTTTCTCTTCCCAGTGCGTTACTCGTTGTGCTGAACACCCAAATGCTGCCATCTTACACGAGCTGAAGATAAGAATCCTCCGTTGCCGTGACTGCTCAATGGCGGGGATGGTCTTCTAGGAGGGCCCAACTCTGTAAGTTGCTGCAAAGCGCGTGTCAACCGATCATCTGTTTACATTATTAAAAAAGTTTTGCTAATTCCTGGCTATAAAAGGTTTTAAGACGGTGTTTTACAATTTTGGTACAATTTGAGGGGGGGGGGGGGTGCCATTTCGATTGCTTTGGATTCGTACAGTCGATAGCAAACTAATCCAAGGTGAAATACTGCTGCAATGCAGTTGAGTGGTAATTTGAAAAATAATGATGCAAAAATGTACAAGAGTAAATTCCTCGCATGTTTGCACAACGTGCGCACACGCGCCTAAAACTGTCCACGTGGTCACGATCTTTGTGGTTCGCTCACCAGTTGGATGAATCTAAAGTAATCTGGCTCAATTGGGTGCAATAGTGTTGCAGCTGCACCGTGACTGATGGCGATGCAGTTCTCTCCTCCATGGGCTCGCAGCGATGTTTAAACTGTTTCGGTGTCGAGATTGAGTGGCGAAGAGGTGCGTGTCCTGAAGCGCAGTCGTATGTGTCTGGAGAACGTGATGAGACAAAATAAATGTTCACTTGCCGTACTGATTTAACGTGTTGAGGCTGAACAGGCTGATTTCTCCAGATGCAGACTCGTGCTATTTGGCTATTCAAGTTGAATATGATTTTCAGTTTTAAGTGCAATGGATGAGGTTTGAGATTGGATTGTGCACAGTCGATCTCTAGCAATCCTCTAAGGTGAAATATTGTCCCAATGCGCACATGCTAACCACATTTGCACTGTGTTATCAGGGTCCTTGGGAGCGGTGCCTGGTGCAACTAATTATTGAAACACGGCAGTGCTGCACCGGGCCACACTTGTACTGACCTACACCAAGAAGTGACCGAGCTGGTGTGGATGGGCCTCGCATGGCGATAGCCCCCAAGGTGAGCTACGGTTTTATTTTTTTCACGAGCCTAGACGTGCGCTTCGTGTGAAAGTGTCTGGAGAACGTGATGAGACAAAATAAATGTTCACTTGCCGTACTGATTTTACGTGTTGAGGCTGAACAGGCTGATTTCTCCAGATGCAAACGTGACACCCCCAACGCAAAATGTACAATGGGCGTAACTGCGCAAATTAGACGTTTTGTACATGCTATATGCTTCGATACTTTTATTGACCCTGCTGAGCTTAACAGGTGTTTTGTTTCTTTTAGTTCATGCGGGGACTGCTCATTGGAACATGGATTTCGAGAACTTGGACTCTGTAAGTGGAGGCGTTGTACACGCGCGCATTTTCCGTGCTCTCATGATCCGAAAGCCATTGAACTGATGATATTCCGTGTTGTTGATTTTGATGAAAACAAATTGAGTCTTACTGATCTCTGGCTATCAAAGGCTTGGACACATTATGCAATCTTAAGTGAAATCTCATGGTGGGGGATCGCGATCGTATTCCTCTACATTGCATGCAGTTGGAGGTGAACTACTGCACCCCAAATCGAAAATAAATCCCAAATGTGAAGAGTCTTAAAATCTAAACTTGCATACGTAAATGCGAGCATTATCTCTTCCATGGGATTGCATAATGTTTTGGGTCTTTTTAATTTGGATGAAATATACCTTGTGACTCCAACTGAAGTCTTTATTTAAAAGTGAGTCTGTGTTCTTGTTTCCCACTAGGTTGAAGGAGGAGAGAGAGGGCCCTGTTACCGAAGTAGCCAAGAGGCTGACACGAGACTGGAGCGCCCCCCGTCATGTTGTACAGCAAAGGGAAACGACGCTGGCCTTCGGCGCGTGCAAACGGCGCAGCTCGGCAGCCGTTTCTAATATTTTGTCGTTAAAGCCGCGTTTTTTCTTTGAATTTTCGCATTTGCTGTTACACTCAAGAATGGCTTGACTTGCAAAGTTGATAATAAAAAATCTGAGCATCACACGTGGTGGTTGTTTTTTTAAGTCGACATTTTTCAGCATTACAACGGTGGTACACTTGACAACGGAAAGCTTTCACTTTTTTCACTTTGCATGTCATACAGAACAAGTCGCACAACATGGCAGTTATCACCCCCCCCCCCCTTGTGTGGGGAAACAGGACACGTGATCAGCAAAAACGGCATCCTGGGGGTACCTGTTACAGGGGATAGGTGCTTGAGCTGATTTAAAAGCCGCAATTTTCCCGTAACATGTAGGGACTTTGTAGTTTCCCAACGCCTGCAACCCATGGCTTTAAGAAGCCGGTAACACCTCCATTGGCTGCCCTGTTGAACCTTAAATGTCAGTCATGTAAATTAAAAGGACTTGTAAAGTTAAGAAACTGAACGCTGCCAGTTTTGAAATGTAATTTAACTCAAATGGTGCAATTTAACTCGTTCTGCAATCGCGGTAATGTGTGTATTGTACAGATATAGCAGTTTTGCTAGCTACTTTATTTTAATATTTGGCTTGTTGCACATTAAGGAAAATAACGCGGTCTTCAGGATTTGCAAGCAGGAAATTATCTTCAACCTTTTTATTTTCAAACCACTGGCTACTTTCCCCACGCACACCTTGCACTTTTTTTTAAACCGTGCAACCATAAATGGTCTACCATCAAAGTGGATGACTTTTTTGCCTTTAAATCACCCATCACCCGTGAACTGCAGGACATTATTTTAAGACGCGTTACAGCAGTAGTGGACAATGTTTATAAAAGGAGCCGAAGCTCAACATGTCGGCAATGTTCCATCTGGCACGTGTCCGCAAGTTACAACCGCAAGTATCTGGTGAAAGCCCCAATGCACGTGGGGGCCGAATGGCCGTCTTAGCACGAGAAGTGAGGCCCTTGAAATGGAGTGGATTTGCTTTGATGGCGTCGGCAGCCATTTAGCGACGTGGGATGGATTTCTTGTGATGTGGACACGGCACGGAGTGCATGCAGAGTCGGCAAACGCGAAAGTCTACTCGGCTCCGAGGTTTTTGGCCAGTGGTGAAGTTGCTAATGTGGTAATGTATCTCGTCTCGATAAAAAGCATTTTGGTAGTGGTGCACAATTAAACCCAGTAACATCAACAACACTGCCTTATGCATATCTTTTAAGGTACTGTTATTGACGGATGCGAGGTGTATTTTCGTGCTCTTTAGTGGGAGTTTGTATTGAACCATAGAGGCCATTGTGATTCTAATCCATTTAGTTCCTGGTCTTGTGCCCCTTGTTCAAGCTTCCCACTGGGTGATCCCATCCCAAGGTCGCCACTCGCCAGTCGTAAAAGTCCTAAACCAAACAGTTTTAATATCGGTGGTCACCAAGTAAACCCACTTTATGCTTTATCTTTGTGGCCAAGCTCTCAAGTGGCAAGAGACGAGGTGAGCGTCACGTGGTCTGTCGCAGTCGCCGCAAGTTGCGCAACGTATTTGAATCTGGCCGTTTTAACTCGTTCCCCTGACGATGTGTGCCATTCCCACCACCATTGCCTCTTCACTGCTGGATGAAGCCCTTTACCCCCCCCCCCATGCATTGTCAGTCGTGTGATTTGCTTGGCCACACCTCACCAACCCTGGTTGTTGTGTGGGTTGGTGAAGTGGCAAGAGTCGAGACCGGTTTCGCTGCCACTCGCTGCAAGGGTTAGAAAGGTTAGCCGAGGCCAGAATTCGAATTCGTGTTGCCGAGTTCAAAGTTCAGCGCACTAACCGCCGTTATGCTACTCCGTCCCAATGTGTGTGTGTACCAGAGGTCGCAAACGGGTTTTGATTCCTTACCCGTACCCGGCCGCACCAGGGTCGCAAATGGCTACCCATACCCGGCCGGGTACGGGTAGCCGTTCCCTACCCGTACCCTACCCGAAATGAGTGACAAACGGTGACTCACCAGTGACTCACGGCCTACCCGTACCCGTACCCGGCCGCACCAGGGTCGCAAACGGCTACCCGTACCCGGCCGGGTACGGGTAGCCGGGTATCAGGTAGGGTAGGGGTATCGGGTACCCGGTTGCGACCTCTGGTGTGTACGCTTGTGGATATGTTCACGAGAACATTCCACCCTCTAGCGACTCGCATGAAGTGTCACGAACTGTTGTTATGATTCTATTCACCATTTTTCGGTTCTTGTTTTAACGTCTCGTTTGTACCGTTGTTAGCTCCAGCAGCCCAATTGTAACAATGTAATTTGCACCAACGTAGGTAATCGATGATCGGGTACAATTAGAGTGGATTTTCATTGCATTGTGAGCATAGGGATACATTTTAATAGACACTGCATCGTGTTACATTCATAATCTTCACCCATTCAATATTTCAGCCCTGTCTGCTGATAACAACCATCATCTGGGAAACATGGAACCCAAGACAAAATGTTAAGCACGTTACACAAAAGACTAAACGTCGGCAATAACACGAAGCCTCACGCTCCGCTAGACCGCATGTACCACAAACAGCTTGATGTAGCCACCACATGATTTATTTTTGTCTTTTTACCTCATTTAATTCCAACTGCTGTTGGTGTCATATCATGAGATTGAGTATCCATACCGATCTCGTGCAGAACAGCCCAACTTTCCATGTAGGTAAGGGTGGTGAACGTCCGGCCCGTGGGCCGTATCAGGCTCGCGAAATCATTTGGCAGTTCCAGCCATCACATTAGGGGTGAGTTAATTAAATGTTTGACCAAATATAACAGGCTAATCTTTAAGTTGATACTTTTGTATGGCCCACGAATGATGTTATTAATGTCCAAATGGCCCTTGGCAGAAAAAAGGTTCCCCACCCATTGTAGGAGAACAGCCCATGGAAGTGGACGTAACAGAACTACCGCTACGATCCCTTCGAGGGACGCCGGGTCCGAATAAGTAGAGGGTGACACTTTCCCACCCACTGCCACTGTTTGTCTTGTGACAGTCAAACTGACAGTTACAATTTTCAGAGCAAAAATGTTGCCAAATTAAGTGCGGAAACAAATGATTACGCAATGGGTTTTTTAGTGCAGCTATTGGTGACCAGGCTGAGGCCATCAAAGCTCAGCACTCGAGAACCCAGTTTAATCGCAGGCAGCAGCTGGCACGAGGACCTCTGAGCCACCCCATCCACACCTTTGATGTCGCCACCATCTTAAAGCTACATTTGTGGCTACTATTTGCTGAACTTAACCATTTTCACTTTCTTTTTGCGGAACACTGGCTCTCGGTTATTTTCTCACAACTCTGTGCATCGTACATTTCTGTTGTCATGGTGTGTGTCGGTCATGATGACCTCTTGACCTGGAGTGTGCACTATTTGGTTGGATGATTGTGCGGCGCGTGGACATGTGTCTGCGGGCCTCCGTATCCTCGGCTGTGTGCCTCTGTGTCCCGCGAGTCTTTTTTGTGTCTTATGAGTCTGCGTCAATTGGGGTCTCTGTCTACTCCGTATACATCTCGATGTGCTCACGGATCTGGCTCCGCGAGTCTCTGCCGAGGTCTTTACTGAGTGGCGGGCTGCGTGGGGGTGGCGGGTGGCTGGAGGCCGATGGTGCTGCACAACCAGCCGGCAAAGTCCACCTCCTCCGCCTCCGCTCCGCGGATGAACGGGTGAGCCTGAGGAGACACGGAATGAGGGCAGCTCTCTGTTAATACTGGTAGGAACCTCCTGGTTACACCAGCCCACAGGGGATTATTGTGTCCGTCGTGCAGGGAGGGGCTGGGTGGGGAGGGTGGGGAGGGGCTGGGTGGGGAGAGTGTGGATGGGTTGGGTGGGGAGGGTGGGGCTGGGTGGGGGGTAGGAGGGGTGGGGCTGGGTGGGGAGGGGCTGGTCACCCCGTGGTGCCCTTATAAAACTCAACGTTTAACCTACTCACGCCGGCTTGTGCCGGACATATTTGCGGAATACACCACGCCGTCGTTGACCCTGCAGGCCATTGACCGAGCAACCCAACGTTCCTACCAGCTCCCTCCGCAGGAATGTGTTTTTCTCAACAATGCACAGCACTGTGGGTAAATATGACCCACGAGAGCCGTGGCTTAATTTCTCACTCAATATTTCCCGTGTTGCTGGTAAAACTGGAGTGGGCACGTTGACGATTGGCCACGTCCACAGCTTTCGAGGAATACTGGATGTGGCGTGCTGGGTGCGGAAATGTTTTCTGAGTCGCTGACCCAGACCGACCCGGCTGAAATGAAAGACCTGGGGCTCAGCCATCGAGTGAGCAGGCAAGTGCAACTGCATCGGGCCCCATTTTGTCACTCAACGTAGCACTTGTGGTGTTGAATATGTCATGACAATACCACGTGGGCCCGAGAGAGGGCACTGCTGTACCGCCGCAGCGGCCTCGACTTTGAACCGCGATCGGCTTGGCTCATTTAAATTGTGGTGTTTTATAACAATGTTTGCAAGTTGGACCCTTGTTAGGGATCACCGGTGTTGCCTTGTTTGTTTTTGCTCTGCTTTTGACAATGTGTTGCAATTTCCGATGAGAAAATTGCATATGTTGTGTTTAGCAAACCTGTCAACCCCTTATCGGTGCCCTACCTTATTACAGACCAATTCAGACACCTTATTGGTCACCCCGTGCCCTTATAAATCTCAACGTTCATCCTACAAAGTCCCATCACAAGGGAGAAACACAAACAAACAGACAGAAATATTTTTGTCCGTATTGAAACGGCTGCACACCGTATGGGCCTGAACGCTAAATTTCCCTGCACAAGAATACGGGGTAAACCGTATGGGGTTGACAGCTACGGTTTAGGTCTAAAGAGCAACGCGTTGCTCTCACTTGACCCAGGTCACCGCTTCCTTTCAAGAGAGGCGCGGTGACCCAGCGGGGCCTCACGCTGGTGAAACACAGTCAATCGCTACATCCAAGCCTGTTAATCAATTGCCACAAATTGCTTCTACAGTCGCGGTAGACACAGCGGCATATAGCCATCGGGTACATAGGCGGCGCAACTGCACTGCAGCTCATGGGCTGTGTGTGTCTATGCTGAACTTCTTTTGCACCGTGCGTAGCCGACTGTGCTAACCAGAGGTGTGGGCTAAAGAAGCCCGAACGCCAGGCCACAAAGAGGAAGAAAAGTGGACTCACAATCTTAATTTTGGAGCTTTCGTGACTGCAGGAATTATTCTTTGGTTCTTTCGGATAAGTCACGTCTCTCTCTGTGTGTCCTTGTGATGTCTGTCTGCTTGTATGTCTGTCTATAGTTTTCTAGTTAGATTTTTGTTGCTATTTCTTTTATGCCTGATGATGATTGCTTGTGTTGCAATCGAAACGTCGTAATATGCTATTATTTAATTTATTATTTTATCTTTAGACGTGACTTAACCGAAAGAACCAAAGAATAAAAGTGGACTCATTTAATTCCTTGCACCAGGACCCATGCCAACCCTGCTATGCCACTGGGTTTGAGAAAGGGCCCACACCTTTGCAAACTGTGGGATTTGTCAATGCGTTTCAAAACGAGGTTGAGAACATACAACGGGGGGTGGCAAGCGGCAAAGAGTACGTGAACCGATTCTTGTTGTTGACACCGAGTTAAATCCGCCCCATTTGGTCCCTCCCGGTCGGCTACTTGGAAAAATATTTCTGCACCCGGCTCCGGCACACCACATCCTGTATAGAGGAGTACCACTCGCTTACAGCTTGTGGCTTGGCTACTGGCCACGTGCTTACACTCCGGTCTGCCGGCGAGCCGGAAAATATTCTGCAAGTGTTAAGTCCCGTCCGTGCGTGTGCGACCGCCGGTCAAGTGTTCGAATGTGCAAGGGGCACGCGTGCGTTTCACTACAGAATGCTGCGGTGTGTGAAAGTGATTTTACCATGAGAGTCTTGAGGTCGGCGCGTTCAGCAGGATTCTTTATCAAACTAAAAGAAACAAAACATAGATGTTTTTAATCACATACAGATGATATTATCTTTTATCCACGGTTATATTTCATTATGTAACAAGCACGTGCTCTACATTTGATGGAAAAGTCTCAGACTTTCCGTTTTGGTTTAGGCTGCGGTACGGATGCATTTTTGGCAGCAGTGAAAATCCATTGTTGTACTGTACTATACTTCCACGTCTATGCTCCCAGTACGATGTTACCCATTGTATTGTGCGTCTATACTCCCATTGTGTATGCTCCCCGCCTTCACCAAGCCGCACTGCCCTGCGTGGTGAAGCATAGGTTTTAAATAACCCCCACGGCCTGCCGGGTGTGGGGAGGCCCTCATCCAGCAGTGGATTGACAACAGAGCTGTTGCGCGCGTGTCAATCTCGCCTGTGCCTCAACCCTTGTTGACTCTTCCTGTACCCGGTGCTGTGGTGCGGCCGCCGACGACAGCGCAGAAGACAAAGGAAGCTTAGAGTGGCGCTGACCCCACAGCCCTCTTATTTAGCTGCTCGCTAACAGCTTATAGCCCCAAGAGACTATAAAGCCTAAGCGGAGGTATTTTGTCTTTGCGTGTGTGGAGAGAGGAGCACCCACGTTTTATTGACAAAGTCCTGGAATTCCTGGCTGAAGATGCCCGGGGGCAGCTTGGGAGGAGGCTGCAATCAACAACAACAACAACAAGAATGTCGACATCTTGAAGTCCACAAACGACGAGCTGCATCGCCGTTGCATTGGAACTGACCATGTTGATGCATACAATTATAATCAATGTTCACCTCTGTGAGATGGATGTATGTTATTGATTAACACACAACACACGCAAGGAACTCACCTCATTTACGATGTAGTCCAGAAGTTCAAAAATTGCCATCGGTGCTCCTCCTCCTCCACCAAAAGCTGAAAGTCACATTTGGTGATAGTCAGCTGCATCGTACGCTTTTGTTTGTAGCATACGTGACGACACATAACGTAACATTACGACACACATGTAACGACACACATATGTTACGACACATATACTGCGAAGCCCTGCAGAGGGGAGGGGGGGGGGGCAGGGTGGAGGGTAGGGGGCGGTGGGGGGGGGGGGCAATTTGCCCCGGAAGTCACAAAAAGGCCCACAATGGGCCTGTGTTTTGTCACTAATGAATAACGTGGAATATTTCCCCGGGCCTCAAGCCCAGGGCCTCAAAGAACCTCTAGGCTGTCCTGTCGACCTGTCTTAGCTGTGCATGTTAGGTGCGCATTACACTATTCTGCTGTCACTTAGTTTTGAAACCTAGGTCTGCCTTGTAAAACAAAAAATGTATGTCCCAATGGGTTCATACCCGGTGATGTAACGTTCAAAATGATTTCGATTTAAAGCTTTCGTGACTGCAGGGATTCATCTTCTTATGCTTTATTTTTATTATTTTATTATTTCCCTTCTACGTGACTTTACCGAAAGAACCAAGAAGGTTCAAAATTATATAATTTTGTTCTTATTTTTCACGTTGGCGATGGTTTGTATTTGTCGCCGCTCCACAAGAAGGGATGACCGCTGGTGGTTGAGATGTACGGTTGAGTGGCAGCCATCCACCTCTGCGTTCACCGTGTGTCCCACTAGGCGCTAGCCGATTTGTCGCATCGCAAGCTCGTGACCGATAGTGACAGCTTGGAATGTTGATGTTGATGACGAAGAATTTACAGTTTTCGCCTATTGGAGTGGACAGATGTTGATTTGAGCTTTGCATTGAGTGAGTAGGGAAGGTTGTGTTAATTAGACTATTTATTTTTACAATTTTTATTTGACCAGGTAAGGCCCACTGAGTTATATAGCTTTTTCTCAGAAGCGACCTGGCCACAAATGATAGCCCAACGAAGTGGATAACCACGTGTTTATTTATAGCAGCCAACTACTCTAAACGCACGTTTCTAAATGTGGAATGAAAAACCGGAGGACCCGGAGAAGAATCCACGGGGAGAACATGCAAACTCCAAATATACAGGCATCGTCAACGTCGGGATTGAACCCACGACCTCATGTATACCAGGCGAGGTAGTTAACATCTCGCGATCGTGGTGCCCCAAGAATGGGGCGGAAGTGTACAGATTTGGAGGAAGGCCGATATAGATAAATTGCTGAGCAGTAGGGTAGGTGTGGGGAGCGGGGGAGCAATTGCCTGTGGACATAAAAAAAAACCCCAACAATACAATTCATTGAGCTGGGGCCCCCAAATCAGATGCTGCGCTGGTTACACACTCCTCCGTCATGTCAACCGCATTCCTGGGCTCATGGCCTCAAAGTCCGACGATAATATATTTTTTTTATATATATAGCGCGTCAATTCAATCGCATCTCAAGACACTTGACATAAATTCAATAAGTAAGACTGCATTAGGGTGGAATTGGGGGTCGGGTGGAGACAGCGCGGGGAAACATTGGCATGAGGCAGTCTCAGAAAGTCCTCGGGCATCCGTGGGGAGCCAAGGTCCTTTATCAACAGGTGTTGTAGCATCAGCTCTATACATTGAACACAATTGTCTTGACATCAACTCAAGACCCAGGCCTTAGTTTTAGCCCGATCTGCGTGGGTCAGTGACCCGGAAAATACTTCCACACCTGGCATACCACACCTATCATAACTCTGCGGCTACTGGTCACGTGTCAACCACTCCATCCAGACCGCCAGCGACGCCGAGATAAAATAAATCCTCGGCGAGAAACTGAGCGACGGTCGGCCCCGCGCATCGAACTCCGTCGCGCGCCGCCGCCACCACTCACAGCTGATGGGGCGGCCCGGAGGCCTGGGCCTGGGGGCCGACGACCCCCCTGCGCCGTCCGCCACCGCCTTGCCGAAGATGGCCTCGAGCTCGCGGGGCTCGGGCGGCGGGATGGGGAAGCGGCCGATGGCCATTTCCACGAGCGAGAGGCCCATGCTCCACACGTCCGACTGCACCGAGTAGTTGGTGCCTTGCAGGCGCTCGGGCTGCGGGCAGGGGGCGGGGGGCGGGGGGAGGGGGGAGCGTAGGAAAATCGAGCGGCGAGATGTTAACCACATGTGGAGCAGGTTGATCCCGAAACTGACGCTTGCGTGGATTTTTTCTCCGGGTCATCCGGTTTTTCCCTCCACATTTAGAAGCAGGTATTTGGCTGCTATAAATGTCCACGTAATAAGCCGCTTCGTTGAGCTATCATCTGTGGCCAGGTCGCTTCTGATGAAGCGCTATATAGCTCAGTGGGCCTTAACTGGTACCATTTACACTATTGGAACATTTAAATGTGTAGTTTTTAAATTTAGTTTACTGCGTAGGTGTTCACATTTGTGCTTTGCATCGTTTCGCTTCGCGTGCCCTGAGAGCTTCTCCAGGAACTCAATGAAGTTCAGTTCCTGGAGAAGCTCCGAGCGCGTGGAGCGAAACATCCGGACGTAATGCCGTCAACTAACGTGCGGTACTAAGCAAAAATCACATCGGGGAGTTGAAGAGCAGAGTGCATGTAGAAGAGAGCGGACGCAGAAGAGGAGAAAGCGAATGAAGAGGCATTCGGACGATGGTGGCAGTTGGGGAAAGCGAAGGAAGAGAGACCATCTTCTTGGTTCTTTCGGTAAAGTCACGTAGAAGGGAAATAATAAAATAATAAAAATAAAACATTATAAAATAATTCTCACGACGTTTCGGCCACAACGCAAGCAGCCGTCCTCAGGTGAAGAACAGGTCTGCGTTGTGGCCGAAACATCGTGAGAATTATTTTATTATGTTTTATTTTTATTATTTTATTATTTCCCTTCTACGTGACTTTACCGAAAGAACCAAGAAGATGAATCCCTGCAGTCACGAAAGCTTTAAATAGAAAGAGACCATTTCTTCCAGTCACCTGTGCGATTGTGACGGCCCAATTCATTCCTACTGAATTGGACCGTCACAATCGGGTTCCGTTGGTCATGCGGGGGAGGAGAGGGTGGCCCCGGGCGGTGAGGAATTGAGCCTGCTCCCTCTGGGATTTAAACTTCTCCTGTCAAGCCGCTCGTAATTTCGGGGTGGGGAGACGCCCGGTGTGCTTCTACTTGATTGCAGCTTTTATTTAAACCAAGCGAGAGTCGATTCAGGTATCATTGACTCGTTGCTTCAGTTACAAATGAGCCGTGCACAATAATGCTGACCCTCTGAATATTCAAAGAGTTACCTTGGTGCGGTCAATTCTACGAGAATTCTCAGGGTGCTCTGGGGAGACGCACAGAGGTCGAATTTATTGACTGTATTATCCGTAATGCTCCACGGCGTTACGTGAGCTGTCGGCAGGGGGCAGTGCAGCTAAAGCCATTGTTGTACTCTACTGTACCAGTACCCCAATATCTATGGCTCTGCTCCTTCACCAACCCGCACTCAGCAGCGCGGTGAAGTATGGTCAGACGACCGAGAAAATCCACACGATCGAGAGACATACGGAGGCCTTACACCGCCAGTGGATTGACAAAAGGGGCAATGCTCGTGTACAATGGGCCCACGACAACACACTACGTTTGCATCATCCCAAGCTCTTGGGTAAATGAACGACAAGCAGGAATGTCACGTGGGCGGGTGGGCGGCCAGGCGTGGCCAGGCGGGCGTGTGGGTGAGCGACGTCGCACCGACATGTACGATCGCGTCCCCACAAACGAGTTGGCCATGGAGTCGATGAGCTGGCCGCTCACGCCGAAGTCGCACAGCTTGATCTCCCCGCGCGAGTTCACCAGGATGTTCGACGGCTTCACGTCTGTACGAGGGGTCAGGCGCACGAGAGGTCAGGCGTGAGGGGTCAGGTGCGCCAGGGGTCAGACACGCCAGGGGTCAGACGTGAGGGGTCAGACGTGAGGGGTCAGACACGCGCGGGGTCAGGCGTGCCAGGAGTCAGGCGCACGAGAGGTCAGGCGTGAGGGGTCAGATGCGCCAGGGGTCAGACACATAAGGGGTCAGACACGCCAGGGGTCAGACGTGAGGGGTCAGGCGTGAGGGGTTAGACACACCTGGGGTCAGGCGCGCCAGGAGTCAGGCGCACGAGAGGTCAGGCGTGAGGGGTCAGACACACGTGGGGTCAGGCGCGCAACGGCACGTGAACTTGAGCTTCCCACAACTGTGAATTTATATTCTCATATTGCCAATCATTCATCTCTCTCTGAAGCTATTTCGTGATTACTTTCATTGTTTTGATGTATTTTATTCGGCAAATTGAATTTCACGCGCATGCGGTTATTCCTATTCAATTTGTTGAAGGAAAAGTTCTTGCCCACGGATTTAATTCATGCTCCTGCTCAGAATAAAAACAAAATTGCAGCCATTTGCCAGTCCACTGCTGGATGAAGGCCCTTCCCACACTGTCTCACACACAGGGGGTTGTGTTTGGTCACGTGAAACTGCGCTGGTCAGTGCGGTCTGCTGAGTGGGGGAAATACATGGAGGAGTGTTCAGGACCAGTTCAGGTCTCACTTGAACTAAGTTCGCCAGCTTCGTTTGTAATGTGCTAACCTGCTGCACCACTGTTCGCCCCCTTTCACCCCCTTTCACCCCCTTTCCAGGCCATTACTATCATCGGCAATGGACACATGCGACGGGGGCACAGGCGACGGACGAGTGTGGAATTGGTTGTAACAGCATTTAAAAAAGATTCACCCCAGACATGAGTGGCACAACGTAGCCGCGTCTTCGGCATTTTACCGGTTAAATTTCGATTTAAAGCTTTCGTGACTGCAGAGATTCATCTTCTTGGTTCTTTCGGTAAAAAAATATAATTCTCACAGTGAGAATTATTTTATTATGTTTTATTTTTATTATTTTATTACTTCCCTTCTACGTGACTTTACCGAAAGAACCAAGAAGATTTTACCGGTTGTTGGCAATGAGTAACGTTAAACGCCACGGTGGGGCTATTGGGCAATGGGTCGGTACAGTACAATGGCACCACAAGCTGTACTCCAGGACAATCTCCCATCCGGTGTAAATAGCAAAGTGGGAAGTGCCATTTCTTTGTGAAACGCAGACACTTTCTGAAAAGATAAAGCAAGCATATAAATATATATGAGAAGTTTTCAGGGAATTAATCGAAATGAAAGGTACGAACCAAGACTAAACGTAATGCAAATCTTTCGAGCAGCTTTATGCTCAACACGACAGTGGAATTTTGTATGTCTTGTCAAGTTCATCTTCTTGGTTCTTTCGGTAAAGTCACGTAGAAGGGAAATAATAATAAAAAAAACATAATAAAATAATTCTCACGACGTTTCGGCCACAACGCAAGCAGCCGTCCTCAGGTGAAGAACAAGACAGCGTCAGACAGCGTCTGAATGATGCTGTCTTTCCGACGGGACCTGTTCACCTGAGGACGGCTGCTTGCGTTGTGGCCGAAACGTCGTGAGAATTATTTTATTATGTCTTATTTTTATTATTTTATTATTTCCCTTCTACGTGACTTTACCGAAAGAACCAAGAAGATGAATCCCTGCGGTCACGAAAGCTTTAAATCGAAAATCTTGTCAAGTTAACAACGCGTGCAGGTTATGAAGCGTACAAATGTGGGGACCACCTCTCTGTGTTAACCGCGAATACAAATTGCAGCGTGAGAACGTCTCAGGCGCGTCATCCAAGAGCCGACGTACCTCTGTGCATAATCTGATGTTTTTCGCGGAGGTAAGCCAGCCCTCGAATCACCTTCAAAAAGCCACACACATTCACCCCACGTCATTTTGTTTTTGGACAAAAGGTGCATTATACGGTCATTCAAAAGCGGTGGGAGAATAGTCGCGTGAGGTGACCTCTCCTCCCATCCGCTCCACCACAATGGAATCGTCCAACGTGGGCGCCATTTTAACACGCAGCCTTTCGCGACCAATATCATCCATAACACAGGTTTTATGGGTTAGATCACGTAAATATATAAATGTGTCATTAAACCCGCTACCACCCAACACAGCCAATTAGTAAGGTTTGTTATGTAAACAGAACATGCCAATTCCTTACTCGTACAGCACTCCACAACATTTACAATGTTGTGGATTTGCTCTCCAACACACCGGTGTGCCGTACTAGCAACGATTTGGCACGTTCTGTTTACATGACAAACCTTACTAGTTGGCTGCGTCGGTGGTGGGGGGTTTAACGACACATTTATATATTTACGCGATGTAACCCAAAACAACTCTATTATGTTAGCGCCATTCTTCGCCTGTATAGTACTGCGAAGAGACATTGCAGCACTGGACAATTCCACTCCATGATTGCTGCGTGCAGGTGAAGACTCAAGCGAACAGAATGTCGGATTGAACTCACGGCGATGCTGACTTTGCCCAGGATCTTTTCCGGGATTCTGCGAGCCTTCTTTAAGACCAAATCCAATGAGCCACCATCCTGTGTAGGCAAACAACAGCCAGCACCACCAGCACCACCACCACGACCACAAACGTGTTAAATTCCATACAAGTGCGCCATTTTATCCATCCACAGAGCAGATGGAAGGTTATCGATGGGACTTTTTGTTTGTTTGTTGCCAGTATCAAAATGAAGGATACTGTATGTTTTGCCCTTTTTGGCAATAAAACAGGTTTTGAGATGTTAAGAGAAGGCTGCCACTGGTGTAGGCCAATCAGTTTCAATGACAATGCATATATGATAATCGGAGCATGTTTGCATGTGTCGCCGCAAGTACGCGTGGCCTCCTAAATGCAGGCTTGATGCCTTGAGAAAGGTATCCATTTGGTGTTTTTTTTTATTGCCAGAAAGGGCCAATCCGATTAGTATTACAGATTGGGAAGGTGTTAAATTTTTGACTTCAGCAGTGCAATTTATTTTACGAAATTCCCCCAATATTTTTTTCTTGCGGGGGGGGGGTCATCCCCCCCCCCCACGCCCTCGCCCCCCCCCAAACTCCATCCCTCAATCATGAAACCCCGTGAGAGGCGAGGGACACAACACTCCGCCCGCCCAGCGTTATTTCAAGGACACACTGTATACAGCGATTGCTGCCGGGCGACGCAGGGATTTCTCCGCCGCCAAAGAGAACGGAGTAACCGGTTTGGGAGCTTCGTGCTTGCAGCAGCAGCAGCGAGCATCAGGATCAGCGCCACCACCACCACCACCGCCGCCGCCACCCCCAAGGGAACATTCCCAGGATTCCTGGCCCCTGTTTCGGCCTGCAAACTCACACCTCTCCTGCCCCGGCCGCGAAGCTCCACAGAGTTTTGTTGTTGCTGCTGTTGCTGCTGTTGCTGATAATGATTTGTATGTGTGTACTACTTGCACGTAGAACTTCTTTCGCACCGCACGTAGCCAGGCGTGCTGAATCGGCCGTGTGGGGAAGGACAAGAAAGTTAAGCACAAAAAGCAGTTCTAAAGAAATGAGTTTTCAATGTAGATTTAAGAGCGCACAGCTCCTAGCGGCTTCCTAATGTCAAAAAAAGAAGAACGTTCCAGACGGCCGCAGAAGCGCATCTGAAATCGCGCGATGCAGCGATCGTCTTTGTTAGTTATCTGGTTAGACACAGCTATCAAATCCGGTTCAGTGATTCTGCACTTGCTCTATTACTATAGTACTATACCGCCTTTAACTTTTATGAACAACTGGGTATTTAAGGTTAGCGATTTGCCGTATTATCTGGCTGTATAGCAAATGAAAAAATACAATTAATTACTATGCAAGTAAAAAATGTGAGTTTTAATATTTAGGCGTGTTTTTATTTATATGTGCAGCCCCTTTATAACAACATATGCTACAGGCCCCGCACTAGCTGAATCCGGCACTGTCAGCAAGGTATTGTGGTTGCGCGGCCCACCAGAATTTGTTTTCAGGTCGGAGCAGGAACTGTTTGAACTAGAGAAGTTCCGCAGGCGCGCGGCGCGCGAAACGTCGGACGTCGTTTCCAAACAACACCGCGGCACGAACCAGAACAACAACACCAACAAAAACACACGCGGAGGAGCTGTGCGGCGCAACCGCGAAAAGCCTACGGCGCAGTTTAGTGCGTGTTGTTCCAAAACGAAGTTCGGCTGGCCTTCGCATCACGTTCATCAAACGATGATGACGGTCTTGAGGATGGTTCGGTACAGCAGATATTGCACACGTGGCTTATTGTTGTCCGTTTCATTGGGATAAGTATGCACAGTTACTTTTCTCAACGTCCCACGCTGTGTGTGGGTCCTGGGGGTTTAGTTAACCATATTTGACGCCGGTCAGTGTACGTTTGGTAAATATGGGGAGCACGGAAATTCAGTTAGGACAATGGATTTGGCTTCTACCGTATCGTGTGTGAAATCACCCCCAATTCACCCGATCTGGTCAGCTCAGAAACTAAGCAGAACTTCTGACCTAGTTAGCACTTTCGTATATCAGGTGTCAAAGGATCGGGTTGCGGGTGTCCAGGAGATTGCAGTAATGTAATGAAAGTTTTTTAGTATTTCACTTTTATATGCATTTGTTCTTGTTTCTCATTCCACCTGTCGAACATGTGTGAAATGAGAATTTGCCAAACATCCCAGTGCAGGACTCTTTCGTATATAGCATTTTTGGGGATTGCAACAGATAAATTGATGTCGAGATCTGACATCGATTCGACTGCTTCAGGAATAGCGCCGTTGGATGTGTTTCAGAGCGCCGTTGTGTGATGATCTGATTTGGGGGCGGTCGTTGTCGAGATTTTGCACGGCCTGAGATGTTTCACCACAGAGTCTTGAAGACTCGGTGAGGCTATTTCGGTGACCCATGTGACTCTTGCAAATGAGACAATCCTGGTCTCTCTTGAGTTCTCACGCCCGGGTCAAACTTTAAACCCTCCTCCGTAAATGATTAGCTTCATTATTACTGTACGGTATGGATTCAATGGCACAAATTGCCGCACTGGAGTACACGTTAGATCACCGTTAAGTGCTGTGAGGATTAATCAATGGCAATTTTCTGGCAGGTTACATTGCAGCTCACCTTTGTAATTCTAGGAATGTGTTTTATAGACAACAGTCAATAACAGGGTTAGGTACACATTGACATTCAATGTGCAAAATAACTTCAATGACATTGGGATAATGTAAGAAATGCCCCTCCTGACACATGTGCCCCATTGTAGATTATAATTCAGTGGAGAACACCCACGGTACTGGGGACAGACTTGGCAAGCAAACCATTATAGTGTAATGTTTAATATGTGTGTACGTCGATCACGTGATCAGTGCCTATTATCAAATCACCCGGAAAAAATGGCCGATCTTGTCATATCTTGTTAGATTATCAGGATTTTGGCCTAAAGAGTGCGTGGGTGTGCGACCACCATGCATAACACGTGGTATGCGTTGTGGTGCTACGTTGTGGGCAGTTTGTTGTCCTTCCCCCGCACCTCCGATTCATGCGGTTGGCTACGTACGGCGCGAAAGAAGTTCAACACAGGTACGGTACAAAAGCCAGCGCGGAAAATTCATGCTCCGATATCTCGGCTCCTCCACGCCTTTACCAACCCGTACTCGACGGTGCCGGTGAAGTATGGTCAAATAACCTGCGTGGCCCAGACGGTGTAAGGGAGCCCTCATCCAGCAGTGGATTGACAAAGGCTTGTACATGGCGTGAACTAAACAACAGCGGGAGAGGTGTACGAGAGCTGAGCACGTAGCATACGTGGAAACATTTCGTGTGATAAATAGTTGCGTCTTGTAAATAATAAGAGTGATGTGGAGCTCTTTGTCAATCCACTGCTGGATGAAGGCCTCCTCGCACCACGCCGGGCATGGTGGTTGTTTGACCAATACTTCATTGTGCTTGTCAGCGCGGGTTGGTGAAGTGGGGTGGTGGGTGGACAGCACCAGTGCTTTCTTTGCTTTGTGAGCCATGACTCTTAGGGACTGTAAAATGGTCTAAATGCACAGAAGGCAGGAGGAGCTTGGCCTTCTAAACAAAGACAAAGGTCCCCCGTGTATCCTTAACAGACCATTGGGGGAAGCACTGCTAGCGAGCTGCACTTTTGAAGGCCGGCACAGCACACGAAGGGGGTGGGTGGCCAGCACCACGCCTGGCCACCTTTTGTCTCCCCCCGTGGCGATGTTTACACACCACACCAGGTACTCATTTGAGGCTGAGTCGACCTAGGGGAGGCCCATGACCGGTTCAAATCATCGTCACTGACGTTGGCCGTGAGCGGGTCGCCGGGTTCGTATGCGCAGTGTGCGCTACGGCCACACACGCACACAGGCGCGCAATATTTTGTTAAAGCCTTCTTCGCGCGCACAAAATACTTTTGTCAAAACGAAAACGACCAAACACGGGGGAGCTCGGCAAAACGCGGTATGGCGAAGGCACGGCATGCGCAACCGGTCACCGCGCCCGTCCCACCCGCCGCACACGTTCGAACACTCCCCCGGGCGAAACGCAACGCGTTGGGCCGAAACAACCCAGGAGAACCCCGTCAGGGAAGGAGAGCGTGCCAGTCGGCGGTAAGGAAAAAGCAGGCGAGTGTCTCCGGTGCTCAATCGTAAGTCGGTGACGTACGTACATACGTACAAAAGCCCGAGCGTAAGTCGGTGACGTACGTATATACGGGCAGTGGATGTGACCGTGGAAGAGAGGTGGCAACCGGGTACCCGATACCCGTACCCTACCCGATACCCGGCTACCCGTACCCGGCCAGGTACGGGTACCTGTTTGCGACCCTGGTGCGGCCGGGTACGGGTACGGGTAGGCCGTGAGTCACTGGTGAGTAACTGTTTGTCACTCATTTCGGGTAGGGTACGGGTAGGGAACGGGTACCCGTACCCGGCCGGGTACGGGTACGGGTACCCATTTGCGACCCTGGTGCGGCCGGGTACGGGTACGGGTAAGGAATCAAAACCCGTTTGCGACCTCTGCCGTGGAAGAGACTCCCGTGGGTCCAGGAAGAAAGTAAATCTGAGCGGCCGACCCAAAGCAACAGAAGAAGCAAAACTGTAATATGCAGATACAACACGCCAAGACACCACTACCGACAACAATGGCCGCCATTCGCCACTAAGTGTCCGTGACGTCACGACGGCGCCTGTGCCAGGCCAGGTGCACTTTGAGGCCACGTGAAGTGTCGAAGGCTCGCTGACGGGAGGTCACGGGACAGCCCCGGGTGCCACGGGGTTGACTGGCTGAGATGACTGGCAGATGCACCCCTACAGACGCCACTCCCATCCACCCACATTTCCACCTACGCCCCGGCCCGCTCGTGGAAATAGAGAAAAAAAGAAGAAAAAAAGCACTCGTATCTCAAACAGAAGATCTGACGATTGCAGAGCTGCCAATCCTCCCCACGCACTCCACGGGGCGGCTGCTGCGATGAACGAGCTCTGTCATGGGAGCTGCTTCGATGTCTGGCAGACGCCTGTCTGGCCAACGCGAGCTCAGGGTGGGTTGCAGTGCTGCCAGGTGGTGTTCAACGCAACATTTTCTACTGATCTCCGCTATACTCTCCGCCCACCCACGCCACCGATATGGATTCAAAGGCGATTATATTTGGGGGGGGACATTTGTGGGCCAATACTCCCCCCCCTCCCCCCCGTTAATGAAAGGTAGCTATTGTACAGTGCGAAAGAAGTAAAACATACATACATACTCAGGGTGGCACTCAAATTGAAGCTAAAGAGGTCATCGCCATCACTTGCTTTCTTTTGGTAGACCTCTCAGTTCGTCCACAGATGACATCTCATCTCCAAGGACCGCTCCTCCAGTATCCGCCCATCTGACCTTCGGTCTTCCCCTTGGCTGCCGACCCCTCTGGGTGCCACTCCAGTGGCTGTCTCGGCAAACTGCCCTCCTCCATCCTGCACGAGTTGCTTGCCCTATCCTACCATAGAATTGACAGTTTCCTCCGCATGCATCTGTATATTCGACGGATAATTATTTTCAAGTTGCCTTGTTAATGTCCGGCTCTATGACCCCGATACTGACACAGATATTATTTCTTCTGCCTCAAACACCCACATCTAAAAACTAAAGTTGACCTGTTCAAAAATGGATCATGCACCAACTAGTGTCCATCTCTAAGCTCTTTCTAAAGGCATTAAATCCCACGTGTAATGACTAATAGTTTATTCTTGTAGAAAAATGCATAGTTGTACTGTACTTCCATGCTTACACATCTTTGCGCCCCAACTTCACGAACTCACACTGGAGCAGTCTAATAATACGGTCTAATAAACCCCACGACCCGTATGGCATAGGGAGGCCCTCATCCAGCAGTGGATTGACAAATGGGCTGTACATGTACACACGTTGTATGTAATGGTATGTCACCCATGCAGCCAATAGATGCCGCTCCATTTCACGAAGTAAAACACAAAAAGATCCATTGTTCAATTTGAATCGCGAACGCTGAACTGAAACATTTCATCGAATCTCTGCGTGGAGAGATGGGGACAGATGGTGAATAGCAAATCGTTCCACCCTTAGCAAAGGAGGAGGGCACACAAGGACACAATATCCTTCAGGCTGCGCTGCAAGCGCTGTGTTGTTTGCGGCAGGCCACTCGACTAAATAAATGAGGATCAAGGAGGCAATCTCAGCAGCAGGACGGCAGTTGTTTTTTTTTTTTGCGATCGACGATAAATTTCCCCGGGGTTGCCGCGAGCTGCGAAGAGACGCCACGGTTTGGATTGAGCCAAGCAGGCCCATCGCGTGCGCGCGCACGCAACCACGCACCCACGCATCCACGCACCCATCAAAACTCACCATGTTCTCCATGCAAATGCTGATCTCGCCGTCGATATAGAACGCGCCGTAGAAGCCGACGATGTACGGCGAGTTGCACTTGTGCAGCACCTGCAGCTCGCGCAGGATCTGCGTGCGGATCGCCGGCTTGATCTCCAGGTGGATCAACTGAGGATTTAAACGAGGAGGACAAATCGTGAACGTTCGCGAAATTCAGCGACGCTTTCCAACGTGCGTGCATCCGACGGTCTATCCGTCCTCCAAAGGTCTTAATTTGTGGTAATGGTAGCGATAGTGCCAGGGGCGCAGGAAGGAGCAAGTCCTTAGGCCGTGAGGAGACACAATGGGGCTCGAATCGCCCCCCACCGTGGAGGGCGCTGACAACCCTTCATATGGTCGATTTTGCCACTGATAAGAGTATGTCCCCAAAAACAACGCAACGTTATATAAATATTTCATTCACTTTGGATCATCTTTACAAGAGTTGCTATTACACAATGTTAAAGCCAGCCAGATGGACTAAAGCTAATGCATAATGGTGCTGTACAATATTATACATATATAGCCCTTTGTTAATCCACTGCTGGATGAAGGTTTCCCCATACTTCACCGCACGTTTGGTGAAGGATTGGAGATGGCCCAGCGCCTGTTCAATTATAACGAACTCGGATCCACCAGGTTCATGACTCAGTGCACCACTGCTCCACCAACAGCATTAGTTATTTACACAACAATTTAATTCAATAGCGGTTCATATGTAAGTGATGGGCGTGCAATGATTCACTCCCATCTCACGGGAGTACACGTGCAATTGTGTGAAATTAAATTAACCGACGATGATGGTGGTGTCATTACAACCACTTCTGAAGTATGCCGGGACTAGAAATGTGCCAGCGGAGTGACTATTACAGTCGAATATAATCCATTCTAGATTTGAAGCTTTCGTGACTGCAATGATTCATATTCTTAGGTTTTTTCGGTAAAGTCACGTAGGTAAAACATCAAAATTAATAAAAATAAAATAAAATTAATTTTGATGTTTTACCTACGTGACTTTACCGAAAAAACCTAAGAATATGAATATAATCCATTAGTCGTCCTCCACTCCAGTACTCGCAACACACGGCGCGGCTTTCCACGGTTACCAACCATCAGGCGCGTGCAGTGTGCAGAGTGGCTTCGTTTGCAAATGAATATAAAAGACTGCCAACAGCAAAAATGTGAACCGTGACGGGGTTTTCGAGAACCGGAGTGGAGAAATTCTGGGTTCAGATATGGTTCATGTGTGCAAACCGGCTTCTCAAATGAAGTGAGTTAATGGTGTCAGCCTGACCACCAATGACTGCACGTGTTGTAGTGCAATTCACGACTCCGAGGCAGGTTGCTGTTAGGGGCTCACGCCACGTTTATTTAAGGGCTTGCTGCCAGGTTGTTAAGGGCTTATGCCGAACCAACACCCCCCTAGCCAATAACTCCCCAGGGGACAGGGTACTGGGATCCCAACACCCCGGCTAACTCGGCTCTCCACCCTGCCCCGGCCCGGGACTACCCCCAACCTCGGCCGGTCGGGCGGAGTAGCCTCCCCTAGCCTCGTCTGAGGATCACCTACCCCGAGTCCCCACTCCTACACCCCCGACGAACCCCTGTTACATCCCGGGTCCCCCTTTAAATACCCCCTCCCCCTGGGGGCATGACGTCACCGTCCCCCACGGCCCGCCTGACGTCATGTCCCGCGACACCGCTCTCTCCGAGGGCGCGCGTGACGTGATGTCACCCACTACACCTCTACACACGCGTATAAAACTCAACGTAACATTTTGTTTGCCGCTCGATTTAAACCCTTCCAGCTCTGAGAATGAAGCATTTCCGTGAGGTTGACATGCCATGATCAATACTTCTCAGGCCATTCAAAAGTTGTGCCCCTTAGTGTGGATAATGATGCCTATGGACGTGACTTGAGAAGTAGCTCCATCCTTTGACACACACACACAATGCTAGCTGCACAATTTAGAATTGGCGACGTCTCCGTCTCACGGCGTGATGACGACAGCTCAATTGCAAATATTAAAATAATCAAACACACGGAAGCGTGACCGGCTTACGGTGAGGACTCGTACACACAGTGCTCCGATTCCGAAAATGATTAGGCGCAGCAATGATTTTTCACGGCGTAAAACCTAAACGTGCCAGCGGGAGACTGTTTTCCCGAAAGAAAAATGCATTACAATCCCCGCTGTGCTGGCACTGAAATAAAGTGCCAACGTGCAGTCAATTTGGTTGGCGTCGAGCCATGGCATACACGGTCGAGGAGTGGCTGGGCCGCAGAGAGGAGGGGGTGGGTAATGGGGGAGGGGGCGGGGGAGGACAGGTGGGCTAGTTTGTCTCGGGCCTCGAGATGCGAAAAAGCCTCAGGAGGGGTCTCAACTGGCATTTTGCTTCGGGCCTGCAACATCCTTTTCATGGTCTTGTCGAGCGAAGTTTTCAGGGGTCACCCTTCCACGCTATCAGCATTGTAACTCAGTCGGTGGAGAGGCAGGGCTCCAGATATTGATGTTCAAATCCAGGCCAGATTGGGGGATGCAGAGCAGCCAGATTAATAGATGCAGTGAACCCATCGATCCGAGTTCAATTCCCAGCTCATTGCTCTGACCCTTGAATCAAGCAGCAACCTCTTTGGGAGCGGATTGTAAACAATACATATCACTGTATGTAAGTACGCTGAGCTTCTTTCGCACCATACGTAGCCAACCGTTCCAGTCCCTTCAACGTGTAAGTTGTGGGCTGCAGCCCATTCACCCCTGGGTACGTTTGAATGTCCGCACAAGACATGACAACGTGACCACGAGTTTGGGCCTCACCTTGCGCGCCATGATGATGCCGGAGGGCCTGTGCAGCACCTTGTTGACCACGCCGCCATTCCCGGCGCCGAGCTCGCTCAGCTTCTGGAAGTCGTCATCCTTGAGCTCGCCCACCTTCTGCTTGTCGTGCAAGAAGGCGTCCAGGCGCTTCTGCTGTTCGTGGTCGACCTCCGAGTCCCCGTGCGCCGCAGCGGGAGGGCCCTCTGGCCTCAGGCCCCTGGTGGGGGGTGGGTGGGGGGGGGGGGTGAAGTGAGGATGATACAATTACAATACGTGACCACGATCAGCCAATGTCGATCCACTGCTAGATGAAGGACTGCTCAAGCGTGTGCCGTGGTGTCCTTCGCCGCACCTCCGATTAGCACGGTTGGCTAAGTACGGTGTGAAAGAAGTTCAACATGCATACATACATTTTAGATTTGAAGCTTTCGTGACTGCAAGGATTCATACTCTTAGTTCTTTTGGTAAAGTCACGTAGGTAAAAAATTAAATTAAAATTCATAAAAAAAATCACGACGTTTCGGAGGCAAGATGCATCTTGGAATCCCTGCCTCACTTGATGCAGCAAATTTGGCTGTGACGGTCCCACCTGATGACGGAGACTTGTGTTGCCTCCGAAACGTCGTTATTTTATTATTATGATTTTATTATTTTTATTTTATTTTTCTAATTTTAATTTCATTTCTTACCTACGTGACTTTACCGAAAGAACTAAGAGTATGCATACATGCACCCCTTTCGGTCCTACGATTCAACAAATCCTCCTAGTACCGGAGCACGAGCTGATCTCGTTGTGGACACCCTCTTGGGAGATTTCCCTCTTCCCACTGCCACTCAGTCGTTATCCTCGCCCACTGGTCACCAATCCCTTCTAGCGGACGGGTCCTGCTCACGGACAATTTTCTTCACGGTCGAAATACAGAACGAGACGTCTCCTTCTTTCTTTTGAGTGTGAAGAATTACACACAATACAACGTGGATTCATATGGCACCTGCACAGATACGGTGAAGATATATATATATGTTTTAATAGGCAGAGGAAATGATGGCAACGTTTGAGCTCAAACTTAACGAGGAGAAGAGACAAACGAGGCTGACATCCCGGTATTGTTTAACAAGCCTACTAATGAGACACAGAAGGTCGAAACTTAGTCCAGATTGATTGTTCACATGCTACATTGGTCGAGAAGGGCAAAAGGCTGATGATATGGAGAGAAAAAAATGTATGTGGAGAGATGTAAGAATTTTGTTTGTTTGTGTAAACCTGAATCTGCCTCGACTTGAACAGGGCCAGGGAATCGACAGCACGGATTGCTGGGAGGGAGGGGGGGTTCCAGAACGTGAGGGCAAGCGGAGAATAATGACAAATCCCTCGCTGGGAAAAAAGGGTTCATTTCAGACTTCGACAGAAAGCCTTTGTCGCTGGAACAGGGAGTGTGTGGGAAGTCGAGTGAGACATTACAAGTGAAGAGAGACCGGCAGTTGCGAGTCCATGTCGGATCTTGGAAGAGAGGGTAATTGCGATCCTACAAATTGATCCAAAATTGGAGGAGAGTTGGCGAGACGCAGCATCAGCACTGGCAGCAGCGGCGGCAGCAGCAGCAGCATCTGCATCAGTAGCACGAGCTGCATAGCAAACGGCAGCAGGACCCTTTTGCCAGCACGACGCTTTAGCGCCTTGCACCAAGCTGCACGCCGCCGTTGCATTGTGGTACTCCAAGTGTCTCCTCTGCAAGCCCCACCGCTTTGTGCTATTAATAGGCGTCTTGTAAACATGCAAGAGCGCATCTCGCCGGAGTGGTGTGCAGTGACACGTGCGCACGGATCTGCATATACAGTAGATATTACAGGTATTACGTAGGCTAACTCTTCTGAGATAATGCAACTTGACATTCCCATGGCAGGGGCCAGACGAGCCAAAGCACGGGGCACTGTTGGCTGCCCTTCAAACTGGTGATTAGATTGAGTTTTTTTTTTTAAAGAAAACCCAAATCGCGTGAATTTTTAAACTGACATTTCTAACTGAAATTTCCAATCGCAACCTTTGCGATTATGTTAAGCCATCGATATGCTCGTACGCGACGACTTAATGACTGTAACAACAACGTCCCTTGTTTATCCAGGATAGCCTTGCTGAGCCTCAATGTTATTTTTCAGAAGGGTACCGCTTTGGGCACCGTTGGCCAATTCTGTTCATGTTTTATTTCATGCGGGAGAAAAATCAACCAAAGCAAGCACCCGAGAAAACAGACCTAACCCCGCACAGATAGATGCAATAAATGCATCATTCACTTGCAACGGAAACTCGTGGTTTTGGGGAGCGTCCACCAAAACTCTCGCGAAATCTCCACGAGACCCACCAACCACCAAATACCTCCAAAAGCGCGCCACCACCACCACCACGCACGCACAAACAACGCAGGTGCGACACGCCTAAGGCGAACGAGTTGGAGAGAAGGCCAAACCGATGGAATAAAATAAAACCCCAGCCATATTGTGGCGTGTACCCCCTCGTCGCACTTGTCCCGAGTGTAAACACCATCAAGAGTCGGGGCTCAGGCTGCGTCCTCAAACACCTCTGACCTGGGGGGGGGGGGCTGCATCCCCAGCGTTCCATCCCATAGCCTCTCCCTCCGTGTGCATTTACGAGGCAGTTTACACACAAAAGGCAGAGAGATCCCACCACCCGTGTCGCCTCGAACAGAGATTGTTGAGGCAAGTGCCGCGCGCGAGTAGCACCTCAAATCGAGATTGAGTAGCACCTATGAAGGTGGTCGCACGGCACCTGACGAGGGTTGCGGTGGCTAACACACCACGCCCGACCGCCTTGGTCTCTGCCCCCCCCCCACACACACAGTGGCAATGTTTACTACACACCGCACCAGGTACTCATTTGAGGCTGAGTCCACCTAGGGGAGGCCCAGGACCATGTTCAGATAATCGTCACTTTGCTGGTGTTGGTGCCCGTCGGCGGAAATCGAATTCGGGTCGCCGGGTTCGTAGCACAGCGCGCTAACCACAACACCACCGCTCCCCCCCAACACACGCACGCAAAGACAAAGATCCCCCGTATAGCTTAAACAGACTGTTGGGGCAAGTGCTGTTAGCGAGCACCTATTAAAACCGGTACCACGAACGACATGGGCGTTTGGAGAGAGAAGGGGGAGGGTCGCTGCTGTCTGTCCCGTTTCTGTACCCACGACACCAAGTGAATGCGTTGACACCGAGTCTCTCTGTCCAGGACCGGTCAGTCGCCACTGATGCTGGAAGTGACGGCGACGCGGACCCAGAGGTGGCCCAGACCGGCCTAGCAGGCCGGGCTCGTAGCGCAGTGCGCAAAGAAAACCAAGTACGACGCCACGCGGCACACACCAACACCACCACCACACAAGCGCGTCTCTCTCACCGCCAGCCCATCTCTCTCTCTCTCGCGCACTCCCGGGGCTGGTGTATACTATAACTCACTCGTTGTTGATGACCGGTGGAGCTTCCACCACGCCTGGGTTGATGGTCAGGTTGGCCGGCTTCTTCTTGGGAGGCATGATCTCGGTGGTGACGGTGGTGACGGTGGCGGTGGTGGTGTGCTCGTTGTTGTAGAAATCGTGATGCGCTTAAAACGCCTTCCTCCAGCCGCAACCAACGCGCGCGCGTCTTCCTGTGTCGACTTCTCTCGCTGCGTGTCTCTTGCTCCGTTCACGCGTGTCGTCGTCGTGGTGGTCTCTCTCTCTCTGCGTCTTTAGTCGCCTGTCGCTCGAAGATTGTCCGCCTGTCAACTGTTCACGAGCAAGAAGATAGCTCTGTGTGGGTGTGTGTGTGTACGGGGGGGGTGTGTACTCAAAGCGTAACCCACCCCCTGTTACAAACCTCAAGCGGACCTCCCTGTCAGCAGCGCTCGTGCGCGTCTCCTACGCAACACGCGTGTGCGTGGCGGTGTGTGCGTAATGTGTGCGCGTCTCCTCTCTTCTCTTCGCGTCTCACCACCATTCCTGCCTGGCCTTGCCTCTCGAGCAGCCCTAGACGGGGAGACGGACGAGGAGGATGTTGTAGTCCGCGTGTGGGTTAGCTCGTGTGCGTGTGTGTGAGAGCGAGCGAGTGTGCCTGTGTATTTATAGGTGAAACCCGAACCGCGCCGATGCTGAACGGACGCCTTGTATAATGGCTTGGTGATTTAAAATGCATGCACGCATGTGTGTCTCCCTCTCACCCACGTGCTCTCGCTCTCTCCCTCTCTCTCTCTCCCGTGCGATTGAAAACCAGGCAGCGTCCGTACGCTTGCACATGAGGCTATACAGTACGATTATACTTCCTCAACAAGAACAAACCCCACCCCGCAAACATTCGTGCTCGGTAACGTTCAGCGCCGTATAAGCCGCCAACCCCAACGGCAGGCCGCACAACGTGGGGGTCGCTGTCAAAGTGCACGTGCTTTTGAAATTGACTCCAAATAGCACACACACACACAGTGGACACGGGGCTGCCCGTCGTTTGTTATCAACAGCCGTGTATGATCGTCGTGTTTGTGTATATCGGAGTGTGACGCGTGGCGGGTATAACCTTGTGCTGAATGAGGGACCGAGTAGGACTTTAAAATGCCATTTAACACACACACACCTAAGCGTTATCACGAAAAAAATGGGGGCTCAATTTTACAGGTGACCCAAGCATGCTAAAATGACAGCGTCGACAGATCGAAAATATCCCCCCCCCCTCCCTCCACCAACCGCCCTCTGTAGTACCCAATTCTATTATATTCTTGCGTGCGGCAGCAACATGTTTAGGAGATGAATACCAATGCGGAGGTCCGAGCGTTGGTGTAATTTTGTTATGTAATGCGGCGAGGATGGCGAATATCGCTTGCGGGCCCTTTTTCGAAGCGGTTAGGCCTCGTGTGGTCGTGGACGGTGACTGACGGTGTTGATCGTTTACTGCCCGTGGGTCAGAGGTTGCCACCCCTGGATCGTGAAAATATTACAGTGACCCATCTCCTGGCCCACACTTCTTATGCCCCCTGCTTATGGCATCTGGCGTGTGCTGTAGTATTGGGAGGTGTTATCAGAAATATAAGGTAATCACGCAATTGTCCTGTTTATAATGTTTGTATGTTTGTATGTTGAACTTATTTCGCACCGTGCCTAGCCACCCGTGCTAATCGGAGGCGCTATTTTTTTGACCATATACGTTAATAATTGGAGTGTGATTTTTGACAAAATTCAGCAATTGCCATTCTGCTGATGATGCCCCCCCCCCACCAAATCCAAAATGGATCCAAAAAGCGTTGGCTGCTTAAACCAATGCTGTTAATAAATATTATGGAAGGTTGATAGACTAAAATAAATAGTTTATAAGGCCTGACTTTACTGAAAAGACCAGAAGGTCAAACCCGCTCTAAACCTTGCCTGATAAAAAAAAGCCACGCTTTTATAAATCGTCGGTCCAGAAGGCCGTCATCGGCTGATGCACTGCACAAAAATTACGTTTTGTTTCGTGCGGAAAGATACAGACGTTCGTAAATGTATTTATGCACAACCCACGATGCTCTTTGCAAGAATGCATAATGATGCGCTGGCGAGCCTGGACGCGAGGAGCATCGTGTGCAAGAGACGCGTGCACTCCGGGGAGGCACATGGCATTGCAGGCAAAACATGGTGTCTGTCGTCCCTGCGTGCATCGTTGCAGTAATGTTTATGTGCTGGCCGTGGCTCACAAAAGGGATGTTGTACATGGACCTAATGCAATCTGCTTCAGATGAAGGTGCCCATTCATTCGCTCATTCACTCGCTGAGTGCTGCTGCGTTCGTTCACTCGGCGTTACAGAGCGGTGCCCTCCTGATGCAACTTGGAGAGGACCCGTGGATGTGTGTGGTTTGGATTTTGGGAGGGGGAGGGAGGTGGTCTGGGTTAAAATTACGCCTCTGTGAGCCTGTGATGAGTAAAGACAATATACAGATAATAATTATGATCATTGTCATCATAACTGTGGATGGTTACAAACAGGGGCGTGCAGAGGTCATTGCACTGCACTGGTAATCTGGCGACCTGAGGCTGATTCTCCGCCCAAGCTAACATCAGTAGTGAGTGATATCTGAAAACCGGACTTGCCCCGACCACCACTTTATGAACCCACGTTGGCCAACGTGGTGAAGTATGGTCAAACGATCTCCATGACTGACACGGTATCGGGAGACCTTTATCCAGCAGTGGATTGACGAAGGGCTGTAATATGAAATGTATACTGTGGTATTAATATAAGGGTATGGTTTGCCATGAAAATAAATGAAATAGACCAATGTTGATCAACGTCACGTGTTTAAGCAGACAAACCCTTTGGCCAGTTTTCATTTCTCTGAGTTTCATCAGCAGGGTATGGCCAGACTAACAAATAGACATTTTGCTGCACTGCGCCGAACTGGTTTCAATTGAAATGCGCATAATTTCCAAATCTGTAATTCGTGTTCTTTTTTACATTGGCATACAATAACCGAACCAGTGAGAATTATGCGACTTGGTTTTAAAGGTCCACTTTTCCAGCAGGGTGGACAATGATGTGTTCAACGTTACAACAAAGAAAAACCCCCATCAGCTTCGGTAGAAAATCGTGCATACGCATAGATTACGTAACGCTTTCCCAACGTGAAATGTATGTCTTTTTAATTAGCAGTATTGGAAGCCGACGGGTATCTGTCAGGACAAAACGCGCTCGTATATTTGCATGTGCACAAGTCTTGTCTTTGCTTTGGAGTGTGTCTCCGAGTGTTGGGCAACTCCTCTCTGTCCACACGTTCAACTCGACCGTATACTACTAGATCGTCTTTACGAGGTGCATAGTGTTTGCCCTTCCTGGTTACGGACGGCAGAACGAAGCCAAAATGCTTTCAATGAGTTGGCAAAGAGTTAAGTAAAAAAAAACACAACGGTGAGATTCTGCCCCCTGATGGTGCAAGGTAGACATTGTCTCGATACCTCTGCTTTTAAGAGAAAAAAAAAACACGAAACACCATCAACCTGTTTGGAGCAAAGGTTAGGAATGCGTGCCACGCGGAGTCCCCACCCCGTCCAACGTCTCTTTACTGGAATGTCCTTTTTTTTAAATGAACCTTTAACTCGCTTAACGTCTAAACGTTAAGCACATTACTCGGTGACGCTGCGTTGGCAATGGTACAAACGCACAAATACAGTAGGTACCGTACCCCTCTTAACGAGGGCAATTGGTTCCACGAAACCGGTCGTTAAGTGATTTGTTCGTTAAGCGAGTGTAGGAAATAAACGCTAAAGACCTAATTCGTTCCGACAACATCGAATGTAAACAATGCCCCAACGCTCATGAATGGACGGCGCTGATTGGCCGAGGTCTGGTCAGACCACTTTGGAGCTCGCCGATTGGATGGAAATGTGTCGTTCAACCCGCCACCACCCGGCACAGCCAATTAGTAAGGTTTGTCACGTAAACAAAACGTGCCAACTCGTTACTAGTTCAGCACACCGGTGTGTTGGTAAGTAAACGCGCACCATAATAAATTCGAGTCCGGTGTGTTGTTTCCGGTAATTACAACCAGCATCATCAGGTGACTGCCAGAGTTGTGGAGAAATCCTCTTGTTTCGGTCTTAAATAGAGGCATAAATGTGATATCACTTCCGAGAAAATCAGGTGCGAAGACCAGATTTGGGGGGCGGGGGGGGGGTGTTAATGTATTTCGAATTGTAAATGTTCTAGGTTTACTCTCCAAACACACCGATGTGCTGAACTAATAGCGAATTGGCATGTTTTGTTTACGTAAACAAATCTTACTAAACGGCTGTGTCGGGTGGTGGCGGGTTTAACGACACATTTATATTTACGCGATCTAACTCAAAAACCTCTATTATGCTAATATTGTTCGCGAAAGCCGGCGTGTTAAATTCTGGTGTAGACAAGTCACTGATGATTGCACACAAAAAACCCCCATTAAATTCGGCATGATTTGCCACTTAATTTCGCTACAGAGAAAAGACTATATTGGCTCACTTACAAATGTCATACACATATCGGGTTGACGGTCATGCAGCAAACGCAAATTCATTATCGCAGTGCGTGTGGGAAAATTCGCCGCCTATCCTGTAAACATAAAAGGGCAATTAAAAAGACGCGTTTTTCGTGAGACGTTTTGTGCAAGCGGATTGGCTGTCTGCTTTGACCATAGTTCAGCCCTATTGCCAGCACAGACATTGTAGTCATAGTCCTGTATAACACATTCCTGCGGAGGGAGCTGGTAGGAACGTTGGGTTGCTCGGTCAATGGCCAGGGTGTATTCCGAAAATATGCCCGACTGTGAGGGCGGGCACAAGCCGGCGTGAGTAGGTTAAACGTTGAGTTTTATAAGGGCACCACGAGGTGACCAGCCCCTCCCCACCCAGCCCCACCCTCCCCACCCAGCCCCTCCCCACCCTCCCCACCCAGCCCCTCCCTCCCCACCCAGCCCCTCCCTGCACGACGGACACAATAATCCCCTGTGGGCTGGTGTAACCAGGAAGTTCCTACAAGTATAAAGTGTTTCGCTTCACTGCCCTCTGCTGCCCACGCCTGTAATTATTAGACATGATGCTCACCGAACCAGCCACTCTCCAGTCTCAACCTGGCTTAACTTCCGGAGGTCGGGCGCGCAATCCGAGGGATGTGGCCGAAGGATGTTGTAACATTACATGGATTTTTTGTTTCTCACCGACACGTGTTTTGCGTGTTCGTCAGGGTTGTCCGACGTTTCGCTGCACGTGCCGGGAGATTCTCCAGCGTCACGTCGAACAACAGCACGGGGTGACAACTCGAACACATCGGAGAGAGAGCCGTTTTGAAACCGAATCTCACGCGATCATCATCAACGGTCGTGGTTCTCGGTGCAACGCCACAATTATCTCAATAAATACACGTGTTCTTCTCTTTATATGTGAGTGACATCGCTGTGTAAACCAAGGCCGTAGCCATGGAGTCAACATTGGGGGGGACCAAATCTGCCAGGGTGTCTGGGTGTCCAAACGCAGAAAAAGATCTAACTTTTAAAACTCATTTCCTGCCTAAAATATTTAAAAATTCACCAACACATGGGATGGATTTTTTTTTACAATAATTTCGAATAGTGTATTATATTACCTTGCTCTGTTTTAACTTTTTTTTACCATTTCTTGTTTCATTGTATGTAATGGCAGAGATTAGAGATTAATAAAGTACAACCATAACCACAATCATATAAACAGAAATCTATGCATTGATTTATATTAACACAAGTCCAGATATTGTGGCCAAGGTTGAGCAAATTGTTTTTTTTTTCTAGACTTGAAGCTTTCGTGACTGCAAGGAATCATATTCTTAGGTGTTTTCGGCAAAGTCACGTAGGTAAAACATCAAAATTAATAAAATAATAAAATAAAAATAAAGATCACGACGTTTCGGAGGCAACACAAGTCTCCGTCATCAGGTGGGACAGTCACAGCCAGATCAGCTGCATCAAGTGAGGCAATGATTCAAGATGTAATCCCTTAAAAGCGAGTTGAGGGGGGAGGAGAGGGGGAGGGGCTCATCAGAATGTGGTAGCCAATGAATGGAAAGTATCGGGAGAGAAGGGCCAAAAAAGGGGGTGGGCGACGGCGTGGAAGCTATTGTGCGCAAGCGACACACTGTTTATTAATTTTGATGTTTTACCTACGTGACTTTACCGAAAACACCTAAGAACAAATTGTTTTTATTTACATAGCATAGCAATTTTTTTAATAGCAATATATTGGGGGGGGGGGGGGGCATTTTGAGCATATTTGAATATTGTGGGGGGGGTGTGTCCCCCAAAATATATTATAATTACGGCCTTGGTGTAAACACCCCCCCCCACCTCTCTGTCTCTCTCCTGGTGTAGACTGTAGATGAGTCGAGACCTCACGTCGAGCAAAGAAATTGGATTGTCACCGTTTTTGTTTCACGCGAAACGTCGCACGCGACTTGCGAATCCGTGCCGTACACAGCCAGCGCCATGCGGCGTTGCATTTCAATCAAGGGAGTTTTTATTAAATTTATAATCACAGTGGAAGCCAGCGTGGCTTATTTATTTATTTACGCACAAATGCAATTAGGGTATTGACTCAATGCCAGACGGCAATTTATGGCGCATGGGTAATGGATACAGTACCGCCACGCGTGAATCGTTGTATTACGCGTTGGGTGTTCCGCCTGTCGTGACAATGAAACACAGAGTAGTACGTGCAGTCCCTTGGTCAATCCGCTGCTGGACGAAGGCATACCTGTCAACTCCTCATCAGTGCTCTACCTTATTACAGAACAATTCAGAACGTATTGGTCACCCCGTGCCCTTATACATCTCAACGTTCATTCTACAAAATCCCCATCACAAGGGAGAAACACAAATAGACAAATTCTTTGCCCGTATTGAAACGGCTGTACGCCGTACAGACCTCAACACTCAATTTTCCCTGTACAAGAAGAATACGGCGTAAACCGCGTGGGTTGACACAAGGCCTCCCCCCACGCCGTGTTTTTGCCATGTGCGTTGGCTTGACCATACTTCACCACGCCGGTCGGTGCGAAATTGCCATGGGCAAGGGGGTTGGCGGGGGGCTGCTCAAAACCAGCGCAGATGTCACTTTGCCACGCCGATGGTAGCCGTGGGTGGGAATCCAACTCAGGTGGCCAACTCAGTATTCGCAGCGCGGTGCGCTGAGCCCGGGCGCTTCTTCCTCCTTCTTCTTGGTTCTTTCGGTAAAGTCACGTAGAAGGGAAATAATAAAATAATACAAATTTAATAATTCTCACGACGTTTCGGCCACAACGCAAGCAGCCGTCCTTAGGTGAAGAACAGGTCTGTCGGAAAGACAGCGTCTGAATGAAACACCACCAGACGCTGTCTTTCCGACAGACCTGTTCTTCACCTGAGGACGGCTGCTTGCGTTGTGGCCGAAACGTCGTGAGAATTATTACATTTTTATTATTTTATTATTTCCCTTCTACGTGACTTTACCGAAAGAACCAAGAAGATGAATCCCTGCAGTCACGAAAGCTTTAAATCGAAAAATTATTCTTCCTTCTTACTCAATCTTAATTTGGAGCTTTCGTGATATCTGTCTGCTTATATGTCTGTCTATAGTTTCCTGGTTAGATTTTTGTTGCTATTTCATTTATACCTAATGATTGCTTGTGTTGCAATGGAAACGTCGTATGCTATTATTTAATTTATTATTTTATCTTTATACGTGACTTTACCGAAAGAACCAAAGAGTAATTCCTTCTTACTCACCCACGACGGACTGCAGAGGGCGCTCTTGCCCCGTTACGAGGATCCTTCACAGATGCACAATTGATAATTGTTTTTTTACCCTTCTATCTGGCAACAAAACTGACACCTTTTTTTACAAGGAGTCATGTTTGCATAGACCACAATACCTGCAGTCATAATGCAAACAAAAAACATAACTCTGATAATGTGCACTGTCCTTGAATTTGATTGGTCCACACCCGAGACAGCTTTCGAGCTCTAAGGAAAGCTGTCTCGGATGTGGACCAATCAACTTCAAGGATAGTGCACATTATCAGAGTTATGTTTTTTGTTTGCATTATGATTGCAGGTATTGTAGTCTATGCAAACATGACTCCTTGTAAAAAAAGGTGTCAGTTTTGTTGCCATATAAAAGGGTAACAAAACAATTATCATATTTTTACTGGCAAATGAAGTTCCAATGGTGTAGATGCACAATTGCATCGCCTTTGCCAATCCACTGCTGGATGAAGAGCCTCCCCACGCCGTTTCGGTTTTTAGGCAACAACAACAACAACAAAGATCGGTTCAGATATTTCCTTGAAGACGCCACCGGGGGAATCAAAGCGTTGCCTTAAAAGTGCCCTGGCGATGAGAAAGCGTTTGAGAACGACAGTTGTCCACTGCTGGATGACGCCTTGCAGGACCGTGAGGATGAATTCACCTCCTCTCAACCACGATAATCAGCGCGGGTTGTTAAAGGTGGAATTCTGGCGGTACGAGAGAGGTCCATGACCAGTTCAGCTGTCACTCGCCGCTGATGTTAGCCGCTGTCAGCAACACAACTCGAGTGGACCGTGCGAAATTAGCGCAGTGCGCTCACCACTGCCCCACCGCTCTAACCCTAATTTATTTCAAGAACTGCTGTTTGCTGTCTCCCCGACAGACCTGAGGACGGCTGCTTGCGTTGTGGCCGAAACGTCGTGAGAATAATTTTATTATATTGTATTTTTATTATTTTATTATTTCCATTCTACGTGACTTTACCGAAAGAACCAAGAAGATGAATCCCTGCAGTCACGAAAGCTTTAAATCGAAATTTAACTTGCTGTTAGCGTTAAGTTTGTTGTTCTTTCCCCGCAACTCCCATGAGCACGGTCGACTACGTACGGTGCGAAAGAAGTTCAACATTCGTACATAGCACAGCGCACCCGTATCCAAGCAATTAAGCGGGACGATTAGAACAATAACGCGTTCCACATACTTAAACATGCGTTTAGGATATGATTTAGCAACACTCATTGTAACTAACCTATTCCGGACCGTACCAACTCGTCTCGCCGGGGGTGTCGATTAGCAACGCGCGCGTGACACAAAGACAACGCCACCAAGCGCGGACGCACTTAACACAACACACGAAAATAAATCACATCCTCTCATTAAAACATCGCGTCTTCGCCTCGCCCTGCCATGAAAAGTCCACGTTTTGTGCCCGAACTCATCCCCGCCCAAAGGCGTCCACACGCAAACACCCCCTCCCGACCACTCGGATGTTGGAACGGCCCTAAAAATGCACTCCCCGAGTCTCGTTACCTCGGCGACTGAGCGCAACCGAAAGAGACTGCGACCTGAGATCTCTTAAAGTGGCCACGGATTGCCTTTGGGGGAGGGGGGGGTGGGTGTTTATTGGTTGTTGTTGTTGTTGTTTTTGGGGTGTGGCGACCCGTCTCGAGGAAGAGGGGAGGTGGGTTTAGGGGGTTCGCGGTGCCCCTCTGGGGACCGAGCGGCGATGTCGGGGTTGGTGGGCCACGGAGAGACGCAGCGAGTCGGGGGCATCCTTCTCAAGGTAGTTCACCTCTCGCCATTCACTACTCATTCACTCTCCGTGGCTCATTCGCTTTTCATTCTCCCAAGCTGCTCTTCATTCGCTCCTCGTTCACTCCGTATTCGCGACACAGTCGCATTGCGGCCACCAATTTACTCTTGATTCACTCTGCGTTGACTCATTCACCTTTCATTCGCTCGTATCCTCTGACTGAGCGCGTGGGGTGTTCGCTCATTGATACTTTCCGAATGATTCACTCGTCGTTAACTCATTCACTCTTAACTCGCTCATTTCACTCCTCACGGTTCGCATTCTCGTGAGCACAGTTGGCTACGTACGGAGCGAAAGAAGTTCAGCATAGTACGTACATTCACGAATTAAGCGCGATATTCGCTATTCATTTAACTCCTCATTCACTCATCAATCATCTCACTGTGCTGTCATTACCCAGCCTTAATCGATACGTGCGCAGGGTATTGACCACTCGATATTCACGATTCGTTGCTCACGTCTCATCATTCACTCTTCGTCGTTCACGTTCACTCAGGACATATTCCGTACTTCTAGATTTGAAGCTTTCGTGACTGCAATGATTCATATTCTTAGGTTTTTTTCGGTAAAGTCACGTAGGTAAAAACATTAAAAAGTAAAATAAAATAAAAATCACGACGTTTACCATTATATAAACGGAGTGGTAGCTCCTGCAATCTCTCATTTACTTGATACAGCTGTCGTGGCTGTGACGGTACCACCTGAAGCCGGAAGCTTGTGTTGCCTCCGAAACGTCGTGCTTTTTATTTTATTTTACTTTTTAATGTTTTTACCTACCGAAAAAAACCTAAGAATATATTCCGTACTGTCATATGGTACTCACTTTTAAAGACATTAAATCTCAAACATTAACCGTCAATAAATACCCACGGCATTCGCTCTCTGTTATTCAGTCACATTCATATCGCTGTAGGATATCTAGACACAGGGGGGGGGGGGGCTTTAATATCAGCTGGATCGTTGACCCAAACTTTATTTACACACACCACATCGATCCGTACCCTTCGCTATGGGGCTGTAGCTCTTAGTCACTTGTTTATCACTGCAGTTTCGAGGGCGCCACGGAGGTGAAATGTTCACTACCTCGCCAGGTATACAGGCGACCCTGACGCCTGCTGTATATTTGGAGTTTGCATGTTTTTCCCCCTCCGTGGTCGCGTGGATTTTTTTTCTCCCCCCACCTCCACATTTAGAATCGACGCCACGCGTTTCGAGTATTTGGTTCGCTCGAAAGTTGCACGCGGAAAGCCACCACGTTGAGCTGTCATTTGTGGCCAAGTCGCTTCTGAAGAACAGCTACGCGGCTCAGTGGGCCTTAGGGGCCGGCCATAAATGACGTCACGCACCTGGGGGGGGGGGGTCGGACATTTGTGACGTAGTGTGAGGAGTGTGGGAGGGGGGTTGAGAAATGTGACGTCTCATCAAAATGCCCAACTTTAAATAAATATAGACAACACGTTCTACTTAATTAAATAGACTTTTTAACAAATGTTTTCTCCTACAATATCAGAGTGCAGCGCCACATCAAATACGCACTACAATGACAATAGTTTATAGCGATTTGAAGAATGTTTTATTTTCAAAATGGAAATATGGTTTTGGGGGAGGGGGGGGCAGAGCTTTGTGACGTCATATTTCAGGGGGGGGGGTCTGACTTTTTGTGACGCCGTGTGACGAGGGGGGGGGGGGGTCAAATATCGTCCATAATCGCGTGACGTCATTTATGGACGGCCCCTTGTTCCTGAATCGGCGCTGCTGAAACAATGCGCTCCCAGAGAAGGGCGAGTTTGCGGCTCAGAGACAAGATACACGACGGATACTATTGTCTTTTTTATTGATTTAGATACATTATTGGGTGACTCAATACCCCCGGTAAAATGAATAACGTTTAGGAGCCTCGTAAACTGAGAACGTGAACGTTGCTTTGATGACTGCATAGTGCTCCCTCTAGCGGCGAAAGTCTTACATTGGGTGCATGCAATCTCTTCCATGGTTTGCACATTGCCGAACAATGCACAACTTTATATATATTCGTGTCTGTGTATAGGTGTGTGTGTGTGAAAGAGGAGCAGTAGTGTAGTGGTTAGCGCGCTGCGCTACGAACCCGGGTTCGATTCCCGCTCACGGCCAACACCATTGTGACGATTATTTGAACCGGTCCTGGGACTCCCCTATGTCGACTCAGCCTCGAATGGAGTACCTGGTGCGATGTGTAAACATCGCCACTGGGGAGACAAAGGCGGCCGGGCGTGGTGCTAGCCACCCAACCCCTCCTGTGCCGTGCCGGCCTTCATAGGTGCTCGCTAACAGCACTTGCCCCAACAGTCTGTTACAGGCTATACGGGGGATCTTTGTGTATGTGCAACAACAGGTTCACATCTGTGTGAACCTGTGGTATTAGGACTTGTACTGGTTCCCTCCTCGGTCGACTCAACCTTAAAAACGAGTAGTGTACCGTGTCTGATACAGTGAAAAACAGAGGCGTGGTTCTTGCTATACGTACACAACTCTGTCGTGGCCCAACAGCCTGCAAGGCAATTAGCAGTGGAGCCTGGTAGGTATGGGTCCCGGTGCAATTAACGAAATGCGGGGGGAGGGGTGGGCATCTGTACAATTCCCCACCACCACCTCTTGGTAGGCCCTCTAACCCATGGACACTGGTGCAATTGCACCGCCTGCACACTCGCTCGCTAAGTCACTGATGGTTATGGTCGTTGTCGTTGTGCTGCACCCTGTGGCTAACATAACTGCATCGATCTTGATTTGAAGCTTTCGTGACTGCAGGAATCCATAGTCTTTGGTTCTTTCGGTAAAGTCACGTAGTTGGAAATAAAAAAAAATATTTTATAACTATTTTATTTTATAACTGCATTGCTCGCTTTCAGATGTTCTTCTGTGACCGTCTGGAATGCTCTTCCTTTCGAAATTAGGAAGCCAATGCACTTTTGAATCTAGATTGAAAACCGATTTCTTTAGAACTGCTATTTGGGTTTAGTTTGTTTCCCTTCCCCCGCACCTCCGATTAGCTGCGTACGTTGCGAAAGAAGTTCCAACATACGTACGTGACGTACCCGTGCAGGTGAAGGAGGACCTGGTGAAGCTCAGGGACGGGCTGACTCACATCCGCATCCATGGCGACGGAGAGGTCATCGACATTCAGGCCCTGGATTCGGCCATCCTGAAGACGGAGACGAGAATCCAGGTGTCGTATGCAGATAACAAAGAAAATATACACGCAGTATAAATTGCCACGCTGCGTTGGCAGGGGTGCACAAGTACAAATAACGAAAGCTTAAAATGTATTTAATAGACGACGTTTTTGTTAATGACCATTTTTAGGGCAATATTGTTGACTCATGAGTTTTTGACCTGCCCTGTGTGTAGTTTGATCGCTTTCTCTTCGTGCTTGTGGGTTTTCTCCGGATACCATAAACCCTTCCAAGTTAAACTAAATAATTATTTGAGTAACTGGTGACATACGAGAAGTGGAAAGTTTCTTTAAACAAGTCATGGGGATTTTAGGAGGCATTCCGAGGTAAATAAGGATACAAACAAAAATCATAAACTATTAATATATCTGTGTTTGCGCTGTGCAAATCAACCTTTTTTAACCTATTTAAAATATTTGAGCAGCTTTTTACGTAATATTTTAATATGCCTCTGCAGTACGGTTCAAATTGCTCACACTAAGTATTGCACTTACCAACAAAATATCATAAACAACGGAGCGGGTGTTTTAAAAATGCATGGTATGTTATTACATGCTTTGAATCATTGCATACTACCCACTGCGGCGTACGGTTCAGAAATACGGTCATTCTGCCCAAAAAAATTGAACAAAAACTGAAAATGGTGGAGAGATGCATGCTTGGAATTAGAAAGAAAGATGAGCACGTGGATGAGAGAACACACGCAGGTTAAAGACATACTTACAACTTTCTGGGCTTGGGCAAGACTCATCGCTAAACGGGATGATGGCCGTTGGTCAAGAACAGTGGTGGAGTGGCAGGCGAAGTGAAGAATGCACCCGAGGAGGATTCCCACTGAGGGGAGATGGAGCGATGAAACAAACTCGCGTGCAGGTGGTTTGTTACGACGCTGGATCGCGACGAGATTGCGGATGGCCTGGGGGAGGCCTTCACGCAGCAACGGGCCGACGGCGATCGTCGCGACGACGCGAGTTTTATTTCGTGTGAGCCATTCGCGAGGTCACAGGTTACTTTCGGCATACCCTCCTGCTCCCTCAGTGCTACGCGGAACAGTGCCTGGACTCGCTCAACAGCCAGGTGCTCACGCTGCCTTCGCTCGACGAGACGGGCACGCAACGCGAGGCTTTCATCCAAAGGTGCTTTGAACGTCTCCGTCTCGCCGGGGGGACGAACTCTCTCGCGCGAGGTTCCTCTTTTGGCTCGCTACGTTTCAGTCAAAAAAAATGTTTGGAATTTTTTTAAACGTAAATATGCAAACCCCTTTGCGCTGAGATGGCGTTCGTAAAAGTACCCACATATCTACGAGAAAGGGAGTCGGGAAATGAAGCATGCCTTTGTTAAATCTTATTCACGACCCGTTGTTGTTGGTCGCCTTGCATTTTTGGCCTTATTTTTATTTTACTTGCCGATGAAATCCGCCTGCCCCCCCCCCCCACCAAAAAAAAAGCCGTGCAATTTTAGTTTTAACTTCCTCCTTTTCAGCGACCCCCTGAGCGAGGCCCTGAGGACTCTACGGAAGCCGTCAACGGGACGGGAGGGTCGCGCGCTGGAGTCGCACAGCTCGCCCGGAATCCGCGTAAGGCTCCCTATCGATCCGTGCACCTGACCTCGACCAAGGGTCCGCTTGATAACCCACAGTCGTGAGTGATGTCACCGGAGCCGTTAGGAAGCCACTGGAGCCGTGCTCTTTTAAATCGAGATTTAACACTCATTTTTGTCGGACTGCTTTTGTGTTTAGTTGGTTGTCCTTCAGCCACATCTCGTACGGTGCGAAAGAGGTTCAACAGACATACAGTCAGCTGGGCTCGGTGGTGCACCTCTCAATGCAGGGCTTTAGTGGCTGGGGCCGGTGAGTGGGAAGCTCAGAGATCAAGTGTGGTGTGAGTGACACCCACCCGCAGTGCAGAGGGGCAGTAGAGAAGATTAGGTCACTCTTCAATTGTGCCGTGTTTAAGTGTTACCCCCCTTTTTACATGTGAGCTTTCTCCACTTTGCAAAATATTTTATGCTACATCCTTTGGCATGACCTTTTGACCCCCGATGATATTATTCCGATTGTGCTATTGGCCTCATGCCGTGCGGCAAAGTATCTCATCCGCATTCTCACAGGGCAGTCAGGTCAAGTGACAAACGAAATTTACGATGATGGACATTGTATCTAATTCATTGGTGACCTGGCCATGACCATCAACTCACCACACATGTGAGATCCCAGTTTAATCACAGGTGGCTGAATACTGAATTAAAACTCTTAGGTTTTTTCGGTAAAGTCACGTCGGTAAAATAATAATAAAATAAAATAATAATAAATGAAAATAACTCAATTAAATCACGACGTTTCGGAGGCAACACAAGTCTCCGTCTTCAGGTGGGACCATCACAGCTAAGAAGAGGTGTTAAGATGTTATATTATATTATACTATTATATTATTTTATTATGTTTTATTTTCATCTTCTTGGTTGTTTCGGTAAAGTCACGTAGAAGGGAAATAATAAAATAATAAAAATAAAACAATAAAATATTATATTATTATATTAGTATATTATGTTATTATATTATTTAATATGTTTTATGTTTATTATTTTATTATTTCCCTTCTACGCGACTTTACCGAAAGAACCAAGAATATGAATCCATGCTGCAGTCACGAAAGCTTTAAATCGAAATTTTACCCTGGTCCTCCTCATCTGACGCAGCTGCGGCAGGCGATGGAGGCGAGGATTCTGTCGGACCCCGAGAACCCCCAGAACAGACCGCTGTTGTGGGACACGTACGGCATCCAGTTGCCCACCGTGCGGAGGCGCGAGGCTCAGGTGAGGCGGCGCTCCGTCTCCGTGCCGCGCCAGCGATCCGGGGTGGCCACGGTGCCACCGTTCACGGCAGAGTACGGCGATTTGATGGTCACCGCGATGCGTCAATGTTTTAACTTAAATTTTTTTTTGCGGGTGTGACTGCGTGCATGGCGTTGTACGTATGTATGTGTCTTGAAGGTCTTTCGTACTGTATATTTCGCCAACCGTGCTAATCGTAGCTGCAGGGTAAGTACAAAAAACTAAATTCAGTGAAAAAAAAGTTTTCAATTTAGACTTTAAGGGGAGCGGTGATGTAGCGGTTAGCACGCTGCACTGCGAACCCAGCGACCCGCGTTCGATTCTTGCTCACGGCCAACACCAGTGACGATTATCTGAATCGGTCTTGGGCCTCCCCTAGGTCGACTTAGCGTCAAATTAGTACCTGGTGCAATGTGTAAACATTGCTCCTTAGAAGCACAGCCGGGCGTGGGTCCTGCCTACCCACCCCCTCGTGTGCCGTGCCGGCCTTCGTTAGGTGCTCGCTAACAGCACTTGCTCCAAAAAGTCTGCTAAGGCTATGCAGGGAATATTTGCCTTTGACTTTGCCACCAGTTGTTGCTTAAGTTGCCCTCCTGCCACCTGGTCCCTGTCAGACGGCGACTTTAGAAGTGTAAAATCTCGCTGGGGTGTTTTTATGCAGTCACAGCCCGAATAAAGTTACAACGTGAATTGTATTCATGGCTGTGAACATCTTAATTCATAATATCAGCCTCCCTGAACTTTGTACTTTAATTGTATTTTACATTTTTATCGCCTTGATTTCGTGCTTTGCCGTACCCCGAGTAGGAATAAAGATTGATTAAATGTTATTCAACTGTGGTTCACTCAACATACGTCTGCCATGAGCCGTCTAATCGCCGCAACTTTACAATCTCTGTCGCTTATAATGCACGTGCAGGCAGAAAATTATCACTTGGTGTAACCACCTCACCATCAATTAATCTGCAAGATGTTTTACATAGCACTCATTTAATGGGTAACAGCTATTGTCTTTACAACGTATTCTTAAATTTAAATCTTTCAATTTATTAAATATCTTGTCAGGAAGTTAAATATTTAAGAAATCTTAAGTGAGCCACCGTAATTACCATGAAGGGATATTTAGCAAAAAACTGACCACACAAATATCGTGGATCTTGTATTGTGGGATGCACATCGTGGCATTGCCGCACCCAGAAACGATTTGGCGTCTCGCGGTGTTGACGCAAACTTTCCTTTCGTGCTGCCAATATGCTCACTTTATTTCGGCAAAGTCACGTAGAAAATAAAATAAAATAATAATAGAACACGACGTTTCGATTGCAACACAAGCAACCGTCATCAGGTAAGAATGAATGAGAAAAAACAAACGTAGTAAACTTAGAAACACAATGCAACACACAACACAGAGAGCCGGACAACACAAACAACAGCAACACCACACCTGACAGCAGTTCACGAAAGCTTCGAATCTAGTTTTCACTTTATTTCCTCGGCTTCACGCGGCATTTTTTCCCCCTCCTCTCCTCTCCTGGCAAGCTAGGCCCTGTTAGCGCAGACATCTGTCCTGTCTTGTTTGGCTGCCCGTCCTGATAGCAACATCCATCTGCCCGCGCTCAGCACTCGTCCCGAAAAGTCAAGGGGAGATACGCCCCTGCACTGTTTGTCAGTGGACCCGCGAGAATGATTAATGGTGTGTTTTGTGGCAGCAGGCTATCCGTAAACACAAACCCCAGGGAACATGGCAGACACTTTCGAAATTTCCACTTCGTGGCAGTTTTTCTTGCGAGATGAAATGCTTCTTTTTGACAATGTGTAGTTTTTCAAATCGGCGGTGCGGAGCACTCAGTATCATGATATGCCGCAGCCTGACTGTGGCTCTTCAATTTTTGTTCAGCACGAGTTTCTGGTAAAGTTAGCAGGTAATGCAGCCTACAGTATGCAGCGAATGTAATGTGCATGACTGATGTGCATGCAAATGTATGAAAGCATTTTAAGCGCTGCTGTGGGGTGTTCATCATCATCATTGGCCACAGAGCTGGATGAAGGCTATTTTCCACCTCTCTCACGGTCTTGCGATGCAACGATCCATCTTGCTCCTCCTTGTACACGAGCGGATTCCATCGCTCCATCTCCACGGGGGATGCCCTCTCGGGAGCGTTCCCTCCTTTGACTTCCACTCCGTTGTTCGTCTCGACCAGCGGCCATCACCGCTTCCAGTGATGTGTGCTGCCCATGCCTCTTTAGTTTTATAAAAAGTCATTATGATGTCAAGTGACTTGTTCTCTCATTGTGGGTTCTCCCATCTTTATGTTTTTTTAATCCATGAGGCATTTTATACGATATATATTTTAAATAAGGCTTTCACCTGATTGGCATCTGATTCAGCAAAATTTGTTTAAATAAGGAAAGTGAACCAATTATATGGCATTTATGGTTTCATCATCAGAGCGAGATTTATTATTGGCAAGAGCGCTCTCTGTTCATGACAGGGTCCCTGTTCATCTTTAGTGGTAAAAAAAAGCAGTGAAGACAACGCAACTAACGAATTTTGTCCGTGTGTGCAAAACGAAAGCGCTTATGTTTTACGTAAATATTTCACTTTGCGAAGCACGCAATGATCTCTGGGTCGCAAGCATGGCTTCTGCACGAATACAAGCGTCACAGCGCTTGCAGCTACAGTCAAGCAGGGGGCACTGGTGCGTTCATTTTCCTGAGTTGGGACTTCCTGGCAAGAACAATAACGCGGAGTTATGGCAGAGGCACCGCGACGCGTGTCCCGCCATAAATCACATCTTCGGCGCCGCGTATCTACTGACCGATTTTTCTTCCGTGGGCTCCCGGTCTGTCTGACCTCTGCCACGCGGCTTCCCGACGTTGCTGGGCTCGGCACACATCTTCGCCGTCGTCGTCGTATTGGCGCTTCAAAATAACGCTACCGGCGCGCGGAATAAATTCCACGGGTTCTTCGCGAACGGACGCCGCGAAAGGTCGCGGAAAGCGAGGTTATGCAAGTGATGCGACACTGGAGAGAATGAAATATAACGGCAACCAAAAAAATATATAGTTTTGTTCGGGAGCGTTGTGACGGGTAATTGATGGCTTTTATGTTGCAGTCCCTTGGTCCGTCTCGTTCAGCTTCTTCCCGGGAGGCTTCTGAAGAGGGGGATTCCTGAGCCCCTCTCTGGCCGCCCGCCCCTCCACAGAGGGCCCATCTCTCTGCCTCTGCCTCCCATCCCTGATAAGGATGGCCGAGGAGGTGGGTTCATGGTGAAAGAGGCAGCTGCCGATGCACGTGCAGCATTTTTATGGGCACTTGTGGAGATGACTATCATCACCACCACCACCGTCGTCATCATCATCACCATCGCTTTAATTTGTACTGCGCCTTTTGCACCATATCTGGAAAGCACCCCCATTCCCGAAACAATCATTGTACAGCAGAGTAACGCTCTAGTATTATGTTGGTGTTATAATTTTCAGGTTTATCCTGTGGGGCATTCCAGAATTACGCTTTCAGGAACCGTGATGCAACGACAAGTCAATGCTACAATCATTAGTTGTATCGCCGCAGACAAGATCAGCTGGCCAGGTTGAAAATGTAATTAACAGCTTTGTGAGTTATTGAGAGGTGATAGAAATGAGCACTTTGAATTCAAGTGTGGGTATTTCAAAGCCAGCGCACAGTTTCCTTGGCAGTCCGTAGAACGTACTTCGGCTCAGGTGTAAATTTGTCCATCCGCTTTCCTCTGAATAGTAAGAGTTCCGTTGAATCATGCACAGCAGATTAACACAAAATTGTATTTGGATGGCAGTGTGTGTATATTATTATTATTACTGGACAGCTGGCAGAGCCGAATTTCACGTGACTCTTTTTTTCAGGATGTGTCCTGCCAAGTTTTTTTGCAGTAGGAGGGCGATGATTTCTATGTGTATTCCAACACAATGGCCCACTATTGGCGAATGACGTCACGCGATCTGTAACGGTCACTGTGAAGTGGGCGGCACGTAGTATTTTTTTTCACGGTGGATTTTACCCGGCAGTATTATGCAGGGTGGCCGCTGGATTTGAACCTTGAATCCTCTGCGGCAAGCGGCGGATGCGCTCCCGCTGGGTAGGGTCACCTCCCAAGGTGTATAACGCACGTATGATAGCGCACGTCCAAGCCTAACGTACTGCCGATGTATTAGGGTCAGCGCTCTGAAACCATTTACGTCACGGACCAATTTTGCAACGCGATATGTGAATGATGGAAAAGCTGGTCACAGCCCACCAAGTGTCTCCGCCAGTGGTTGTAAATCAGACGCAAACAGAGCAGCGGTGTAGGCGGGCTTTGATAAAGAACGCAGTTGGTTCTGGTCAATATGAATGTGTGCTGTGTGGAGCGGAGTCACTTGTGACCAAATCACCAGGAATGCACCCCATATACTCACAGCTTGGCAGCTGAACAGGTTTGAGTCTGGATAATGCTTTGAGGGGTGTCCACCGTGCATAAAGCGGGAGCCGCAGGCTGCTGCAGGACCACGTTGTCAGCACATGGCAGTGCGGCAAAATCAATCGTTGTGCTGTACTATGCTCCAACACCTGCGCTCCCTGCCTTCACCAACCGGTACAGACTGAATTGAGAAATATGGTTAAATAACCCCTAAGGCACGCACCGTGTTGGGAGGTCCACAACCAGAAGTGGACTCATCAAAGAGCCTCTGCCATGTAGATGCTCACATGTATGTAGATGCTCACATGTATGTAGATGCTCACATGTATGTAGATGCTCACATGTATGTAGATGCTCACACGTATGCGGAGTGCTCTATGCTGCAGAGGAATGTGGGTTTGGATATCGCCTGTGTGGTGCGTTTCGTGATTTTGTCACCAGAGGGAGTGAGCTAACAAAAGCCTCTGGTTTGCCGTGCATTACGTTGAAAAGGCCCTTCCAAGTATACAAACAATATTTTTTTTATTAAAGGAAAATTTGTCAATATGTGTGTCTGTTCGAAATGTTTAGCATACTTCCCGACATGCAACAGACTTGAGATTTGGCATGTGGGTAGCTTCCAGACTTACACAATACAAAAAGTATAAAAATTGACTTTTATATTTTTGGGGGGGGGGGGGGGCAATAATGGATATAATATATTGCACGGCAAGTGAGCGGTGACGTCACACCTGTGATGTCACCCGCATGCGGCAGCGTCACGCATTGCGCCTGCTGACGTCACGCATCCCCCCCCCCAAACCCTCCGGGTAGGCCGTGTATCCCGCACAAATGTGCTGTGTAGCTGTCTCGATGTTCTAAGTCAACGCGACTAATTTCAGCTCGCTCCTAAATATAAAGCAGAAACAACATCTGTTTGTGTGAAGCAGCAAAAACTCTCGAACGCTGAGCTCCGACGTCACGAAATTTGCACAGCTCATGCTGTCTGGAGTTTCTAAGGGAACGCAGTCCCTCCCCGAGTTGCCTAAATCGACCTTACACGTGGGTTAAGGTTGAATTTCCTTCAGTGAAAAACATCCGATTTAGTTAAATTGATTAGTTTCGGCTTTTTTTATTTCTTGCAAGCATCACTTTTTTTGCAGGGTTTTTCAGTGAAATAAGGGAATATTAAATTAATCCTAGATAAGAATCCAAGTCCCGGGCAAAGCCGGGTAGGTAAGCTAGTGGACAATAAGAATCACGGGGCGTGGAGTATTGACGCAGTGTTTAACACATTCTCCCACCTTCACTGATCAACATGATGTGCGGAGGTCTTTATCCCGTGGCGGATTAACGGTGTAATGATCACCAAATCCTCAATTCCTCTAATCTCAATGAATTACAGTAATTTGTAATCCCTTACACTGGAAGCAAAAAGCCTGTCTTTGATTTTTCTACAGAGCAAGTCTGAACATTTGTTATTAAGTTCTCTTAAGAGTCCAGTCCATCAGGATTGCATGCTGATCACATTTAGCAAGCTCTTTGGAACATCACTGTTTTAAGTCTGTTGCAAAACTGGCTCAGACTCAAGCATGGATCTCGAACATTCTACTTCGAATATATATTTATAGAGCGCCTTCCCCGAAGGCCTTCCCTGAAGGCGCTCCACATAGCTTACAAAACTGTGGCAGAATAGAAATTATTTCAATGGTTGTGTACAAGGGTTGAGAAATGAGTGACAGCGATAGAGGGGTACTTAGGGATCACGAAAGGGTAGAGGAGTGACGGGAAGGAGTGGAGGAGGGTCGAGGGCAGGGAAGAGGAAGAAAATTGGGCAATAGAGAGAAGGTGGAGCTTGAAGAAAGGAACAGAAGGAGGTTAAGGAGGAGGACTGCTTAATGTACAAGGGGACGTTAATTCCATCTGCCGGTGACTGGTTCCAGGTCTCTGGGCTGGAGGCCCCAGTGAATCGGTGGTCGCTGTATCGATTGGGTTCCGTTGAGGGACATCACTAAATGTCGCACAGCTAAGTGACAAGTGAACATTGGAAAGGTATTACCAAATGATGACTAGCAATTTCACTCGCAATAATAATAACAACAACAACAGATTGCTGTATTTAAATTATATTGCATATCTTACGTGATGCCAGATGCCTCGTCGTATTTTAAGGTTGGCAACTTCTTACTGCGCACCCAAAACAAATCCAGCGGCTTTAACGCGCGCGTGAAACCGCCTTGTGGTTTGTTTATTTATTACACAACAACGCTCGTAGCGGATGTTCTCGACGGCTTTTGAAGTTGTTCAAAAATATGTTTCGCCATGCACGTCTCTCCCCTGCGCTAAGCAAAATTGAAACGCTGACGCAGGGCGGTGGCTGAGGGTGTTTCCTCAACGGCACCTGGAAGTCATTCAAAACTTAAAATAGGGCGTTCGGTTCAGAAGAGGTGAAGTGCCTTCCACGCGACACACTGGAGTGTTTTGCGGGATATTGCGTTTTACCATCTTGCTCATTCTGCTTGCGGATTTTGTGGCCCAGTCACCTTTGTGCCGCTGTTTTAATTTTATGGGACGGTATATTAAAGGAAACTGGAAAGATATTAGAATTAATAGGTGCGGTTATGAATGTAATTTATACGTGCTCACGGTCTCCGCGTAGGACAATATGCGGGAGTGGCTCATCATGTGTTTTAGATGTGATTCTCGATGTAATGGCATGTTATTTGGCACAGATTGCTCTCAATATGTCAGTAACAGCCCCCAATGAATTGTAATGCTACTGGCCGGATTACATACTTTTGTCTAATGTCACACTCGGAATGCTTCAGAGACTCTGCCGATAATGTTCGTCATGTGATCGCGTTACAAATCACTGCGGAAATAGGATGGAATGTTTCAGAGATTGGGATCATTGGCCAATTCATTATTGCCCCGGACTAAAGTGGACTAAAAGACCCCTCTGTGCATAAAAGAAAGAAAAAAAGGAGAGAAAATCGGACGCCTCCTCCCGTATCAATCCCATCCGTCCTCCCCGCGCAGCGCCAAACGCCCGGCGCGTTATGAAATATAATTGAAAGCAGCAGCTTGAGTTGTGGAGATGGGTTTTGGTTATTACGGGGCACTTGCAAAGAAATACCGCCGGACGTTTAAGGAGATGCCTCGCATAAAACGGGCCCGTTAAAGGGGAATCGGGCCCGCAATGCGCGCCGCTGAGTAATAGCAGTCACGGCTCGGTTCCCTTCAAACGGCCGTCGAATGGCGACATCGCGTCGGATTGAGTTTGAGATTAAAATAAGATAACGCTAATCGTGTTGGGCCCGTGGAGGGCTCATTAAGCCGACGTGTGTAATGCATTTCGTTGTAGCGCCGCCCGTATGTTGCGCGGCGGTAAATGGGGGAACGCGGTAGCACGAGATTGCTTTTTCTCCCAGTGGGGCTTTGTCGATGATCTCCTTAATGTCCCTGCGTATGTTGCCGGCGTCTGTTCAAGCTGGCAGCATGTCCCTTTTTTTTGTTGCGCCCTCCCCCCCCCCCCCCACTTTTTCCCCTCTCCAATCCTTTTATATTTTTCTCTCTGCACCCACCCCCCTCCACACCCCACCACTCTCCTGCTCCTTCGCGGGTTAATCGTAAGGCGAGATGATACGTTACACCATGGGACCTTGCCCGCAATGTGGCTATGAACCGTACGAAAGATGAACTATGGGTTGTAAGTAGCGGCGTGCCCGGAGTTTTGACAAGGCCTTTTGTTTTTTGTTGTAAACGTGACTCGCACTCTTTCTCTCTCTCTCTCTCTCTGTGACTACTCCGTTGCTGTCGTGCTGTTTCCAGGGAAAAGTTTGGT